TTTTTGAGTTCGGGAGGATTCCACTTTACTTTTCCCGAATTCTATGGAATGAGGTACCTAAATCTCACCCGCCTCCTTCACCGGCCACACCCTAAACACTGCTTGTTAGGTTTGGAAATATTGGAAACAGCAGGGTATGTGTGATGAACTACATATAGTATCAGCGTGGACGTCATGTCCAACAATCTGACCACACAAGTGTGGGAAATCATCAAGGTCACTGGGGCTGTCGTCAGGAGGGCTCTGATTTCCAAGGTAAATATGGAGGCGGCATTGATAGGTGCGGGTGGCCTATTCACTTACTCTTTCGCTTTGTATTTTCGGCACAGAACAAACCAACCGCAATATTATCTTCCGGCTCAGCACAATGAATACTCTATACTAACCGGGCGCAGAGGACACAGACGACGGACTAAACGTAGTGGAGAGGTACAACCGTCCCCTTTAATCTCCGATACACCAACCAAGCCTTGAGCTTCCCAGACTCTGCGGCCCCATCTCCTTCGCTCGAAGCTAAGGCAACGAGGACAGTGCTGATGACTGATTGACCCTTGAAGTAAAACGAAAGAGACGGGAGAGAAGACAAGTGAAAGTGAAATCGAAAGAGGATTTGTTCTTTTTCCTCTAAGACCCCTTTTGTCACCAGCGTTATCCCTAGCGGTAGAATTACCTCGAACAAACCATAGACCTCGACGAGGAACTACAAAAACATATCTGACAACTCTCGGAGGCAACAGAATTTCACCACACGCCTTTCCTTTCCCCCCCTCGAGAAAGGCACCTTGGCCTTGGAGACGTCAATGCCCAGTTCTACGGCATACAGTAAGGACGAACTTGGGAGCGTCACATCACACATGACAAAACCTCAGATTACAAGGAAGGCTTCCACGTCTCGTCGTCTTAGGGGGTTTGATGCCAGATTCTATCATGCTAGCCTCTGTCAAGAAGAGAGGGAGCGATGCGAAGAACTCAGAGGAGAGCGGGAATCAAAAAAATATATGAATAGACTTCGACGAGTTACATGACGAAACTCCATGATTTGCGTGACGTGGAATTAAATTGGGGGATTGAATAAACCCAAAATTCCATTCAAAGCAAAAAAAACAAGAACAAAAAAACAAAAAACAGGAGCAGGCCGTATTGAATGCGAATCCATCCAACCAACCCCGATGAAGCGAACCCGGTCCGGCTATGAAGATGGGAGAGAACAAGAGGGGAAAGAAAAAAGAGAAAATATCAATTCGAGCAGAAAATGAAAATAAAAAACCACAATGCTATCCCTTTTTGCCAATGGTATGAGTGTGTTGCAAGGCGCCGTTGCTGTATCAGCCCTCCGATTCCCAAGTCTTTTGTGTTGGTATCTCTGATGTGATGATGTGCCAGTGCTTTGCTCCGATTGCCACCAATGTGAAAGAAAGGCCCAATCCGCCCACCCTTATGATGTTGTACGCCCGTGTCTTTTTTTTTTTTTTGTCCTTTTTTCTTTTCTTGCTCTGGAGTTCTTTTCACTAGGTTGCGTCACTCTCTCTTCCCCGGGGATATTATCTTTCGGCCCTGTCGTTCGTATCGTACCACCATTACAATCGAGAGGTTTCGTCGTCATCGTAAATGCTCCAGGGCCAGGAGGGAGCGAGCGTAATCCCGTGTATTGCGTTACGCTCGCCCGGCCGGTCGCCACGAAATCAGATGTCCTCTCTTCTCTCCTGCTCCCTCCGATCATGGCCATGCGTGCTTGGAAACCCGCTAAAAATTCCAACATTTCCCCTTTTCCCCTATCCCCACTGGCCGCCGCCCGCCCAAAAAAGACACCCGCCCCGCTGGTGGATGCGCAACCTTGGGTATGATGATAATGATGATGGATACCAGAACCGAAAACAGCGCCGTGCGCCGTAACCAATGTTTTCCCCAAACCAACCAACCAACCAACCCCTTACCCCCCTTTCTTCCGCAGTAGGTCCCCCAGCCCGAATCCCAACAACCCCTTGCGCCCTTGCTCGGAATCATTATGTAAATGCCAAACCCATGCTGTGATGCATAGCCGCATCATGATAGCCGCCTGCCGCCTGTCGCCTGCCGCCGCCGTCGTCGTCGGAAGGGCCATGGAAGCCCAAAATTTTGTAAAAGACCACGAGGCGGACTTTCTAAAAAAAAAAAGGACTCTCTGACGCGCGTGCCGTGCCCTATGACGCTCAGCCGAGCGGTCGACAAAAGATGCAAACCGAAAGTTTCCCACACAAAACCTCATAACCCGGGGAATCATTGTGCCAAAAAAACAAGAGGCAAAAAATAAATAAAATAAAATAAAATAAAAATCAAGAAAAACCGAGAAAACTCCTGAATTCTGACCATACGCCGATGGGTGAAGCGGATAAATGCCACAGCCGATGAAGTGATGCCCCTTGGGCAAAGCCGTGGGGCCGATTGCGTGGTCCGATGCGGCAATGCGAATGTCACGGTCTGTTGAGCCCGTCCGTCGTTGAGGAGGTGAAAGCGGTCTTAATCAGAAGTGCAAACCGGGGAAGATAGCAGAGCAATGCGACGTGCGAGAAAAACAGATGTGCGCCGTGGCCGTGGAAAGCGAAAAACACTTTCGATCCAGTCGTCGTCGCGTCGAAAACAGATGATTACCGACCCATCATGTAGGGGGGAAACGATGTAGTGCCACCGCCAGCCATCATGGCCCCGTTACCGTTGTAGATTCCGCCCCACGGGTTGTTGTGTTGGTTGGAGCTGGTGGGGGACGAGTACGGGTTACCCGCGCCGGAGCCAAGGGCAGACGACGCGGTGTATCCGCCGCGGCTGGCGCCGAGGCCAGGAGGAGCGCTGAGTCCCGGTGGGGGTCCGCTGGCTGTCGTGAACCCGCCGTTCGATCCGGAGTGCATACCGTTAATGCCGCCCATCGAGCCCGCGCCGTTCTGTCCCTGGTTTTGCCCGGAACGGACACCGAGAGGGTTCTTGGAAAAGCTCAGGCGAATGCCGCCCTTGACGCTGTTGTGCAGCGGTTGTCCGTACAAATCGTGCAGGGCTTTGGTTGCGAAGGTGACATCTTCGAACTCGACGAAGCACATGGGCCCGTTCTGCTTGGTTCGGAAGCACAGGCGCTTGTATCCGCGCTGGCGCGAGAACATAGCCTTGAGCTCCTCTTCCGAGGTATCGATGGGAAGATTACCGACATACAGCGTGTTGCACGGCGGGTTTTGATCGGCCGGGTTCGCTGGGGGAAAGTTGTTCATGCGATGCGGGATCTGTGAATTATAGTTGGTTCCGGGACCCGCCATCGCGGTGGGTGACATGGTATTGGACAGTCCCGCGAGGGACCCCACGGCAGTATGACCGTAGAAGGACACCGAAGTATGCGCACCGGCGTTGGCGTTGGTGTTCAACGACAGATTAGCCATGCGCGACGAGATGGGCAGCTGCGGCGCTGTCTGGCGACGCTGCAAGCCATTCTCAGCAAAGCCGACGGGGTCTTTGAGAAGCTCCTTGGTTTCATCGTCTTCGGCCGAATCGATGAGCGACTTGCTGGTGACCTGCGTGCCGTTGGCAAGGTGGTTCCCGATGGGCGACTGTGGGCTGAAGAGGTTCTGATAGCCCGCGCCTGCGTCGTGAGAAGCGAGGTCCCCGTACATGTTCATAGGGGGGGACGCCTTCTCCATCGACTGGAACGTCCCGTTGAACCGCGATGTATGCCGAGATGAGGGCGCAGTGGAAGTCGCTGACACGGTCGCGCTCGGCGCAGTCGACGACATGATCGAGTCGTTCGGGTATCGGTTGCTTAAACCGGATGTGGGGCTCGAGGTGCCCAAGATTTCGACAATCATGTCGGCATCGTTGGAAATGTTCGACTTGCCGTCGAGCATGCTCCTGGCCTCCTGGGCGCCCGCTGGACTTTTGAACTTGAGAAGGGCGGATCGAAAGCCAGGGTCGGCAGACTGCTCAACTGGCAAAACTTCGGCATCGACGAGGTCCTGGGAAAAAACCATCATCAGGCGCAACGTCTCTTCGGACGTATTGAGCGGCAGGTTCCGGATCAGGGCCGAGGAGAGTGTTGGTGGCGTGGCCGACAGGGGTGTGCCCAAAGGGTTTTTCGAGTCGCGATCAAATGAATTGGGCGCTGGATGCGACGGCGCATAGCCGGGTTGAGTAGTCGCGGTCGGACGAAACGCCGGCGCAGGCGGGATGAAGGCTGGGACAGCCATGGTGGTCGCTGGGAACGGACTCGTGCGGTTCGATGCGAGCGAGGCGAAAGAGCCGTGGGCGGATGGGCCAGAAGCTGTACTGGGTGGGTTGTGATCCCCGTTCATGCCTTGCGATGCATGCAGCGTTGCGCAACGCAGGAAAAACCCGTTGGATTTGTTGTAAGTATTGGCGATCGCGCTGATCGGAGAACAGTAATGAGTGGGAACGCGTTGCGCTGCGATGCGCGACACGCAGTGGAGTAGCTACTCGGAGGCCGAGAAGGAAGAATGAGGGCGCGGCTTTTGGTTTGATGGAGACGGACGGTTTCCGATTCGGACGTGGGACTCCAAGCTAAAGCAGGCGGGAAAAAAAAAAAAAAAAAAAAGACAACGTGGAGGGGCGCGGGTGTAGGCGCAATAAGACAACGGGGGGAGGAGCGCGGCGCAGGTACAGATTACAGTAGCGTAAAGGAGGAAGATGACTGGGAGGGAAAAAAATTTGGGGGTTGGAGAAAGATTTGGTGTGGGTTGATGAGGAGGAGGGGGGGTGATAGAAGCTCTGCGCGCAACCTGCAGGGAGAGCTGTCACAGCGGGCGGGACCTGAGAATTGGCAAGCGAGGGAACTCCTGGGTCGTTCCAGTCAATGGGGAGCTTCCCTAGGCATATTACGCATCTTACAGTACCGGTTTGACGCTAAGACGAAGAGAACGGTGCAGTGGTTGGACCGCGCTGGGTCTCCCGCCTGCAAACTTAATTAAGGCCCACTCAACAGCGAGACTCTAGCGAACGACGATAAGGTCGATTCTCTTGTTGAAAGAAGCCGGAACAAAGAAGAATCCCGAGAGCTAGCGGCAGGTTGCAGGAGGAGCGATGGGGGCATGTGGTGCAGCACTGATGCTGTGACGAAGTCACCGAAAAGGGTTGCACCCCAGCTTGCTAAGTGGGAAAAAGGAATGGGACGTCCTAGTAAATCAGGTCGAAAAGATGACGGGGAATTCATTTCACCGCGGAACGGGCTTTGCAGCTGTTTGCGCCGGCCTGCGAACACGTACCCACCACGACCAGGCCCAGTGAGCAAGCGCAGAAACGACGTCCGGAAAACGGAAAAGACGCGCATGGATGGAGCCTTGTCATTCCTGCTGCCCGTGGGAGGAACTTGGGCGGTGAAACGCGCCTGCTCCCACTTTTCCCGCGGGAGGTGGTGAAATGCCCCAACCGTCAGTCCGTCACTGCCGTGCCATGGCGAGTTTCCCCTGCGACTGAATGCACGAGATTTCAGGAACTGGCGCAGCACTGGCCAGTCGTGTCTCGGAAACGCCCCAGAGATCGAGCCCAGGCTTTGGCAAGGGTGGGTGGACTCGCAACTGCGCTAAACCAAAGACGGATGGGCATCTGCACCCAGGAATGGTGAAGTTTGGATGGGTGGGGCTCTCCACAGTGTTCCTCCACAGATGGCACGTATCACATCAAACTGGAGAATTCTTTCGCGCCGAGCATCGTCCTGTTCGAAGTCTGGAGCGGAGATGGAGGGCTTGAGCTGTCGAGACCGCACACAGCTCGGTGACGCGATCGAAGAGCTTCGGGTACTGGTGCCTCAAGGAAAGCCTTTTTTTCTCTTGCCCCGATAGCAGCGGCCTCCAGCCATTCCTGTCTGTTCAGGCCATTTTCCTTTCTTAGTCTCTTCTCCCCCATATTTTCCTCCTTTTTTTCTTTTTTTTTGCTTTTCTTATCCATTTCCCCAACTCCCCGCTCTCTTCCCCCCTTTGCCGGGTGCGCATGGAAAGAGTCGGTTCGGGGTTTATGCAGTCAAATGGGGAGGAGCCTCACCGGTTCGGCCGTCGCAACCCTCGAAGGATGCGGCCCTGTGATGGGAGATGCAGTTCATCCGGACACTAACCCACAATGCAACCCTACCTACTTCGTACAAAGTAATGTATGGTTGGATTCCCGACAGCCCCCCATAATTGTTTCGACTCAACGTGTTTCCAAGCCCTGCATGGAACTGGGCCACGTCCCCTCCGAACCCTTGGGAATGCCTTGCTGGGCGTTCCCGTCTGTGCTTGGGTTCCAGAACGGCCGTTGGAAGAAAAAACAGAACCGCTCTGGGAAAGAGGGCTGTGAATTTTTACTCTATAACTTGGGAATAGGAGGTGAATGATGGGATGTATGTACAGTGTGCTCGGGGCAGCCCCATGCTCAACGGAAAGAGGGTCCAAGAAGAAGAAAAATAACGGCCCCCCGCTGTTGTAGTGACAAAGCATCAAAGGCGGGGCTCGGGTCATTCTGTTTTCTTGTTGATGGTGTGCTTCAGACCGGTGAGAGGTCAGGAGCGGGATGCCGCACCACCGACCCAACAACCATGAGTTGATACCTCTAGACCGAGGGGAGGACGGGAGTTAGTCCGCGACTCGGAATAACTACAGCCAGTCCGCCAGCTGTGTAAAAGTCCCTCCTGGAACTCCTATGCCCCCAAGGGATACAGGGGTTTGAGGGGAATATCAGCATCAATATTCGTTCTGCTGAAAACGCTTGAAAAGATGCGGAACGTCTCGGGTCCTCATGCGGGCCGGTTGTTCCAAATGTAGGAGGGAGGACTGAACAAAAAAGGAATTTCCCGAGTCGAAGTTTCGAAGTTTTGATGACGACGTAGCAGACAGAATGAAGACCGCTTCGCCTGCGTGACGCTGCCGGTGGTCTTAGTAACGGCGTTCACACTTCTAGCAATGCAGAAAATGACTTCCATTCTGGGCATCGAGAATCGAGACAAATTGCTGATAACGTGATAGTGGGCCTGGTCAAAAAGGTCCTGTATGCCCCACACAACAAGAGCTGGGTTACTCCCATTTCAATTTGTGATTTTGGCACCGCTTCCCCATGGACTTCGACGCAGCTGCGGAGAACCCAGGGACCCTCTTCCCCTCTTCAACTCTGAGAGTACATACTTTCGTTTCGTACTGTGAGTGTGTAAGAATCTTGAGTGTCTTGACGCGCAGCGTCACCCCAAACTCTAAATCCAAAGACTCAAGCACAGATGACCGTCGGCCCTTTGCCCTAGGCACCCAACCTTCCCACTCGCTCTTGACTGGCGTGGCCGCATGCAAGATAATGGAGGAAGGCAGATCCACGGCTGATTTTAATGACGGCACCACCTCCATGCATACCAGTCAGTGCCAGGGGCCTGGCGGAAGGGCCTCTGACATCCCGTCCATCCTCAATGAGACCCAAGTTTGTCCGGTTGAGAAGGATCGCTCGACCCGACCGATTGAGCCAGGCTCGAAAGGGAAGGGCCGCTCGCGCCTCCGGAGAAGTGGGCACCCGCTTTGGGCGCGTGGTGCGATGCCAGACCGCAGGCGCTCTCGAGGTGCTGCAAGTTGGGCAGGTACCGCAGCGGTAATCTACTCCGTTCGCGCTTTCCTCGCCTTGGCGAGATTGAACCCCTTCTCCAAATGGAGCCCTGGAACGGTGGACAGGTGTCTTGCAAATTTTCTCTCTGCTGGCAATATTCAGCAAATCATCTCAACTCTTTTTTGCTCTCATATCACAGAATTGAGGATACAGCACACCCCCTCACCTCGCCCGTGCCCCCCCATGATCTTCCACAAGGCGGACGGACACCTGCACTGCAGACGGGCCGCGCAAGACTCCGAGCAGTCGGCACGCACTGAAGCTGCAGGAGTCAGCATGGTGCAATCGACAGACCATTGCATGCCGTGAAATCATGTTGTCGTATCCCATCGCTCAGATGCCAAAGTTCGCAACAAAAAGAAAACGACACATTGCCAGGCAGCCGTGGGGCCTGCTGCAGTCCCACACATCCATTCTGCTGGGAGGTCAGGGGCCACATCAGCCATTCAACGCTCGCAGAGTCCGATAATTCTTACACAGTCGCTTTGAGGAATCCAGATCTTCACGACACCGTCCAACGGGAGTCGATCCTTCCGTCACGCGCTCGATTTCGCGGGGGTGCGTATCCAAGAGAAAAGACGATGAGTGGCCGGCCGGTTGGCGCCCCGCAACACCCGCCGCACGGCGCGGCGCTGCTCTCGGTCGGCGTCGAAAGCCACCTCAAGCAAAGGGTTTATGGGGGCTCCCAGAGACGCCACCGAGACCACATCGACGCACCCTCTCACCTGTTCGAGTGACCACGGCTGTGATTGCCGAGCCAAAGAAAACGGCTGCCGGCTAACATGCGACTGCCCGACGGAGGACTGAATTTCATCCAAGACGCTACTCGTCGGACCCGGCAATTGCCTGCCTGCATAGCCGTTCAGTCTCACGGCTGGAACACCCTGGAAGGCGGAGCCAACGCAATACCACACCCTCCTCGAACCTTTGACAAGCCGTGCATGCTCAGCAAAGTGAGAGCAAAGACGGAGGATGATGGCATCCCGCATTCTCTCAACCCGCCCTTTTCGCCACACCAGCACCAGCAGCCTTATCACCCCGCAAGCGGCGCGCGGCCCAGCCCAGTTTCAACGACCCCCGTCCCCGCAAACCCTGCGACTGATCGCTTTTGATCCCCATGCGCGATATCTGTTGAAGCGGCTTGCAGCGCCGGTCGCATTGCTTGACCGGCGATGTCTGAGGATTTGAGATCTTCTGAAACGAACGACGCCTCTTCTGTATCCCACTTGTTCGTCCTGGCCCCGTGGTTGCCGGGTACTGTTTCCTTCCCGCAAATGGGTTGCAACTGGAAGAACTCTGCCGTGGAACACGACGCAGCTTTGGGTGTTCGGTGGGGGTTGAAATGACCCCCACCGACGCAACTGTGTACACAACAAGTCTGCACTAGTGTACTGCGTCCGTCCATATCTGGTCGAAGACTGTCACGAGCGTACACAGCACTCACCTTCCTCGTCGGCTAGGTTCCCGTACGACAGTTTCTTCAAAAGGGAGCCCGCGAGGTCATTCAACCTCTGTCCCTGTGTTGAGTTCTCAATCTTGAGACTGGAAAGGTTGGTTTGCCCGTCTCTGTCCCATCCCAACTACAAACTAACAACTACCTGTGGAGCCCATCGACACAATCTGCGCACTGACCAGACGAGACAAGCTTCTGCAGATCCCCTGGTCTGGCCTCAGCTCTTGGCATGGGCGCCCGCCCGGGGATGCCTGTTCGTTCTGGGTGGTGACGGGCCAATGATCAGACGCCGCTGTCGATTCGTGGGAGCGATGGGCCTGTCGGCGTCCACAGGCCCGAGATCCCCTTTGGTCATTCCAGAGGACCGGCGACTTTTGTCTCTTCATTTTCAGCCAGTAATGTGACACTTTGCCCGAGATCAGTGGTCCAACCAGCTGCTCGGCATGATGGCCACGGAACCACGTTCGCAGGCTGTTCATGACACGCGTGTGCGGCATGTCACATGGTCTCCACCACCCCTTTGCCCTCCCTTGCTTGATATTCATCGCTTCGTCTCGGCACTGAAGGAACCGGCGCAAGGTTTGATGGGATTGGAAGTTTGGAAGTGGCCTGTCCCTGCCTTGCAGCTCGGCTCAGGAGCCGATGTTTAGCGCGATACCTATCCTCGAATCGGCGACTTGGCCGAGGTTTGGACCACGGAGAGCGACAGTGGGAAGAACGTTAGGCACGTTGGCTGCCAAGTGCGAAAGATGAGACAAAGGGACTTCTGAGATATGGCTGAAAGAGGAAGACGGACCCTCGAGCAGGGAACAAGGACAGACAAAAAATGGTATTCAGTGAAGGGAGGGACCTCAATCGAAACACGCACACGGTCAACCATGCTGCCCTCGGCTAGCCATCCGGGTGAAGAATTGACGTTTCCTGTCACCAGTAGAAACATGCCTAATGTGCCACAGATGCACATACCGTTCGTAACTGTCTCGGGTACGGAAACCTTGACAGGCACTGCAGGCGGGCAATCGAGTTGCCAAGTAGGGGAATTGCAAAGGGCATCAACAATCTCGGCCCCTCAACCCCCCGCTTCAATATCAACTTGGTCCATCGATGCCGACTGTGGCTTTGAAACAAAGGCTAGCTTGCTTAAACGTCTAAGAAGGAGCACACTATTTACTGGAAAGAGGCGAGGTTCCAAGCCCACACCACAGCCCTAGGCATATCACGGAATATCTAGATCAACATCTTCCTGCTGCCACCCGGTGGTCAAAGTCGCCCACAGGTCATTTGGCAACGCTGTGCCTCCGGGACCCAGCCCTACCTGCCCAGCCGACCCGACTTGCGCACCGTGAGGAGCAAACGAACTCGACCCCATTCCCAGGTCGGTGTTGAACGTTTCATCCCAGTACGGGTAGTACGGGTCCAGGCTCCCATCCATCATAGGACAGCCGCTCGTGGCTGGATCCTGGGCTGCCGAGGGCGGTTGTGCCCTCGCAGCCGGGCCCGACATACTCGTAGACGCAGGCATGGCTGTGGGTCCAGGCATTACGTTCCCTGACGCGTCCGAGATGATAGGGGGCGGTGTTATCGACCCCAGCATCAGGTCAACTTCTTGCTCCCAGAACTGCTGGTCCTGGAGCGCGGTGAGGGCCGCTGACGCTTCAGCGCGCGCAGCCTCTGCCTTGGCTATCCGCTTCACATACTTGCGCCGAACCATCTCCAGTACGATCTTGCTCGCACCCAGCACATCCATGCTTTTCACCGGACCTGGTTGTTGTTGTGGCTGCGGCTGCTCGCTTCCACCGCTACTTGAACCACCGCCATCCCCCTTGGTTCTCCCATTACTCTCCGCAACAACGCACTCGGCACTCTTCCCATCACCCATCCGGCATAATCTCTCCACGTACTCCCCAAACCTCAGCACCGGGCGGGCCGCGACCGCATCCCAGCCGGGACACAGCGGCAGTGGGAAGGACATGCGGAAGCCCAGGATGACGGCCATGATCAGGGCGCGCCACTCGACGCCGACGAAGGCGTTGAAGTCGGTCGGGGTGAGGGACAGGAAGAAGTCGTAGAGCTGGTGCAGCCATGGGATGACGGAGGCTAGGCGGTGCGGGTCGGCGCGGAAGGTCGTGCCTGCGGCGGCCTCGGCGTTTTGTTGGCACGCGAGGGGTAGCTTGCGGGAGGGGAGCTTGAGCAACGGCGCGCCGGAGAGGAAGACGCGGGAGTAAAGGACTACGAGGCGGATCGAGGTGTGCGAGGCGATGCCCCGTGGGTGACCCTGTGTTCCTATGCCTGTCACTGGCCCTGGCCCATCCCGCTGGCCGAGCCCACAGGTGATGTTGCTGGTGCCGCTGTGTTTCGCCTGGTCTTCCCTGACCATGCGCGCTTCCCACTCGCTCAGCTGGGTCTCCATGCCGCGCAACATCAGGCTGATCTGGTACTCGCTCTGGGAGTGGCCGCGCTGGGTCCGGCGCAGGTCGCTGGTCTCTTCGACGATGCGTTCGAGGCGTACCTGCCAGGCCAGAATGTGGTCGCCGGCTAGCGGGCTGTGGTGCAGCAGGAGGTCGCTACAGCGCGCGGTGTACTCGTTGTAGGTGAGTGCTGGTGTGCGATTCCAGGCAGAGGCTGAGCTGTTGGGTGATTAGTCAGTTTGCTAACGGTAGGAAGATTAAGAGGAAGAGTGAAACTCACGAGGTTACAAGGAAATAACTGGCGAGATACAGTCGGATCTCATCCAGTCGTTGGCAGGACAGGGGGGCGTCCATCGAGTCTGTGCCCGGGTTTTGGTCAAGCTCGAGGTCGTTGACGATGTCGACTACCATTCGCAGGTATTGCGTGGACTGTCGGTTTTTGGGTCGCAGATGGAAAGGGTACCTGGAAGGCCGGTTAGTATGAGACTTGGGTGGGAGGGAAAAAGAGCTGAGACGACAAAACTCACCACGCCATGTACACCACCAACCCCTGAAGCAACTCCATCGTCCGCTCCCCTCCCGCCACAAACTTGAGCCCCAACACCTTCCGAAACTCTTCGTCATACAGACTATGTCCCTGCATCGTGCGGCTGCCGCTCGCGGCCGCCAGTACCGCTAGCAGCACAAACGGCCGATCCTTGGCCATACTACTCACCGTCTCGTCTTCCCGCACGACAACGCAGTGCAGATGGTCCAGCATTACCTCGCGGAAGGACTCAAGCAGATGCCCGGCCGAGTCGAGGTTGAATTGCGGCTGCAGGCGCAGGCTAGCTAGGGTCCGTTGTTTGGGGGGCCGACGGCTGCTGCTGCTGCTTCTGCTGTTGTTGCCAGGCTTGATCGTCGGTTGTTCTGGCTCTGATCGGGGCGCCCCGGTGCGTTGGTGATTATGGGGCGATGGGACACCGAGAAACGTGCCGCTGCTGCTGGGCGGCGTGGACAATGCGGACGCGCCCAGCGGGAGGGACGAAGAGGCATGCGAGAGAATGGAAGACGATGACGGCGCGGCGGAACCTACGCCCGAGATGGAAGAGCGGTCGAGCCAGTCGTCTGGTCCGTAGCCGTGTTGGTGCTGTTGGCTGTCGTAATCATCCCCGTCGGCGTCATCGTGCTCCTCGTCATCGGAGTCGGGCGACAGCAGATCGATAACTTGCCTGTGCGTCAAGCGCAGTCCCTCGAGGGAGTCGGTGATATCGTCGTCTAGAGACATGGGGATATCGATGGTGAATGTTTTGGAGGGTCCGGGGGGTGGAGGGTATGAGCGTGGAGGTTCGAGGCCGGCTGCGGTGGCGGTGGAGGCTGTGGCAGAGGTTGATGTCGAAATGGCAAGTCTTGAATCCGACACGAATGAGCTCACGATCGTTCACAGCATAGGCGAGTCCGGGGAGGACATTCGGCTTACCTCTTTGACTGCCTCGGCCTTCGGGTTCGCGGACCGGTTTTGAAGATACACTCCCGTTTTGATTCAAGACATCTACTCGCGTAACGAAAAGAAAAAAGGTCAACCAGGGAAACAAACCGCTTAAATATAAAAAGCAGTCTCCGCAACAGCATCAGGGTCCTCAAATCACCCGAGGCTCCATTTCCACCACCAACCCCACTACCTACCCAGCCCAACGAACAAAGTCGCAATCGACATGAGCCAACCCGGTCCCACGGTAAACGGGGGGGTTCCTGGCCAGGCCAGGACCGCCGCCGCCGCCGCCTGACCCCCAAGGGAGAGGGAAAAAAAGGTAGGTAGCTAATCTAGGTTGTGTAGGTGTGACCTACCTCTTGCATATTCCCAGCTGGGCACCAGGCATACACTTGACTTTAGCGGCTCGGCACGCCTCACAGGCGTTGGAAATGCGCGGGGCGCGGGGCGCCGGGACCGAGCGGGCGTCGTCTGCTGCGCTCATCGTGGTGTGAAGTCCGAATCAAGTAATAAGTGCTCGGTTTCAGTTTTTTTCGGGGCTCGGATTTGCTTGGCTTTACCAAGAAAAAGAGATCCGTGAGAGGAATGAATCGAGATCAATTCTGCCACGTTCCGATCGCTTGCCTGGTGCGTGAGTTGGGGGCGGTTTACCTGCCGAGGGCGAACGGGGTGCGAGAGTCCGGGTGTGAGCTGTTTCGGGCGGTCTGGCCCGGGCGAGCACAAGGTAAGTTTGGCGAGGTTTGGAATCTTAGGCAGGCAAGGCCCCGTTCCAGATCGGATCTCGTTAGGCAGGTCAGGCACATCAACTCAAAAGACGAGCCACTGGCTCATTAAACCTGTGATAACTCTGGCAGTATTGCGTGTTTTGATCCGAGACGACTCGGTAGTAAGAGTCGGTCGAACCCGGAGTCGTAAGGGGCTGGCGGGCGGCGCAGTGGGGAAAGGAAGGGGCTTGGCTTCCGAGAGGTCACGGAGCTTACGATTGCTTGGCGCGTCCCGGCGGGAGAAATGTGGGGCATATGCGGAAGATTGCCAAGCGAGCCAAGGCCGGGGTTTTGTCTGTGGGCCCGGCCGAACTACGGAAGGGATATAGGTGGGGATTGGAGGATAGATAAGGTAACGTTGAATTCTTCTGAGTGAGAACTAACTATTAATACAGGTGTTTTCTAGAATACGGGTTTCATCGCGGTGAGGACTCAGAGTGCTCGTACATCTGTCCAACCAACCTATGTCCTCATTACCCGCATTCCCACCAACGTACATCCCGTTCCTCCCCGATCATTCAGCTGGTGTATTCGCAAGCATACCTGCGTCTCAGCTACATAGCCCTGACTGACAAATCAACGGCGCGGAAAAAAGAAAATACGAATAAAAATCCAGCGATCACCTATTACACTACACTACAACAAGAAAAAACAAGCGACCACCCACCCACCAGCCTCACTCAACGATCACCAGCCTCAATCGACGAGCCAGCTACGTAAGCCCTTGGCAAGCCCTCGGTAAGCTACGGCTACGAGGAAATACCATCCTCAGCGCACCTCACCACCTCACAAAGCGCTCTCATCAACACCCCACCACCAACAGCCTCATCCTCCTCCTCTGCCTCGTCGTCATAATCCCCACTCTCTTCTCCCCCGTCTCCTTTGCACTCGCCCCGGCTCCGGCCCCGTCCCCGTTGCCGTTCCCGCTCCTGTCTCCGTTCCCCGCCCAAGGCTCCCTTGACTTTCTTCCCTAGCAGTGAGCCCAACCCGCCGCCGGTGAGTCCGTACCCGGAGTCTGAGCTGAAGAGACTGGTAGACTCAGCATACTCCGTTCCCAGTCCGGTGCCGTTCCCGCTGGTGGGATGGGAGCTGTGGGGGCCGTGATGCTTCATGGCGGATATCAGGAGCGTGATGCAACGTTCCAGGCCGGCGAGGAGTTCTTTGCGCATGGCGAATGCGGCTGCGCTGGTGACGCTCGCGGTTGGGGTGCTGGTGCTGTTACTGTGACGATGGTGGTTGTTGACACCGCCGTTCCGACCGCCACTGCCCACATGGCCCGCGTGGCCTGCGTGGCTGTCGGTGGTACTGGTACTGCTTCCTCGGCTGGGTGTGGCGGGTAGGTCTTTGAATAGGTAATCCGCCTGTGTCTGTTTCTGTTCCCGTTCCCGTTCCTGCCTCTGTTTCTCCAGCTGCTGCTTCTGCGTCTGCTCCTTCTGCGTCTGCAAAGGCCGTCGACCACGAACCAACACACCCCTCCGCGCCGCCTGAGGGGAGCCCAAGTCTCTGTTCCCTATGAGCAGCGGCGCAGGGAAAGCCGGGTTACTATCTGCCACACCCATGCCTAGGAGAGAGGCAGCTTTCTGTGGGATCTTGAGACCCGCTGTGGCTGGATTCTCGTCGGCGGATCTGGGGCGGGAGCTATTGTTGTTGCTGTGATGACGCGGCTGCTGATACGGCTGCTGCTGGTGCTCTGGATAAAAATAGGGTGTTGGAGGGCGTGGGGGGTTCATTTTCGTGTTTGTTGTTGTCTTTGTTGTTGTTGTTGGAGGAGCTTGAAAAGGGGACGCCATAGCAGGGGTTGTGGCGCTGCGGGGTATTGTGGTTGAGGGTCCCGGTGTTGATGTTGAGGCTGAGGTGGTTGCTGGCTGCTGAGGAGAGAGCGAAGTGAGGTAGTTGTATACCAGGAGGTGGGCATACAACGCGTCACAGAGCTTGTCAGGCGCCGAAGGGAAGACATTCTTGATTGGTTTCCACACCGGTGACCCGCGGCGGACAGTACTGGGAAACGCGAGGTTGGGTATGGTGCCTCGCGAGAAAGGGTCCTGGTGGTTCTCCTGGTGGTTCTGGGACTGTTGGCGGTTATGCTGGTTATGGTGGTTGCTGCTGCGCCACCAGCCCATATTCCACCGTCTGGCCGGTTTCGCCTGCTGAGACGACGCGAACGAGTAAATCGAGTCAGCATCAGTGCTTCGGAGGTGACGGCTGAGATTTGCGCGGTGCTTGATCTTCTTGGAGTAGGCCCGGATGGTTTCCACGGAAAGGTTGGAGGTTATAAGCATCGTCTCGGGGAAACAGCTGATCGACACCCGGAGCGATTCTATCACTTCGGGCGGTAGCGGGATCCCGTGGGAAACGTGCGGAGTGCGCGCGCTTGGGGTGGGTGGGTTTGTGGTGGTGTCGACCCGGTGGTGGATGTTGGTGAGGGAGCGGCGGGGCGGGCTGGTGGAGATGTTGTGGTAGGTATTTTCGTCATCTTCGTCCTCTCCATCGACATCATCATCGAGATTCTCGTGGTGGCCATGGAGATTCTCATTTTCGTTTAGAGGTGGCGAAGGAGAAGGTTCATGACCGTGGCCGTTGTGAGCAAAAGCAATCGGAGGAGGCGATGATGCATCAATGACGGTCCGGCCATTAGCCGTCTCGAGCAAAGGCAAATCAGCCTGGTTATCCTGCTGAAAATTCAAATCGGCGCTGCGAGCTGTTGTTGAACGTCGCTCGCGACTGACAGTTTCCGAGGGGAGAAATTCATGGTCCGGCGATTTCGAAAGTGAGTCGGCACCATGACGATTCCATCTCAGCGACGAGCTCCGTACAGGTCCCGCGATTACCGGCGGAATGTCGACAATTCTCGGCTTCTTGGTGTGCGAGTGCGACCGGGCCGGCCCTCCGGCGGCAGGCGTTTGCGGTCTGGAGGACGCGCCGTAATAACTGTCCGTCGAATTAAGCTCCGGGACTTCTCCACGAACAGAATTTGCTCGATCTCTCGAAAGCTTTTTCATTTCGCTACCGGGATCGCCGTAATCCATATTGGCGTAGTGATGCAAGTCAGAAATGGAGCTTCTTGCGGTGACCACCGAACTTGGTGTTTCGTTGTCGGATGGGGAATCAGGCTCGTCCTCAAACCAGGTGCCGTGCGAACTACCTTCGCGGTTGGAAGAAGACGGGGAAGGCACCGGGGATGCTGGTCTGGTCAGGTGGTGCGCGGCGAAAACAGGTGAACAATGCCCTTGAACCGGCCTGGCTGGCGGTATCGCCGCGGCAACGGATTGCCGCCGGGTAGTTGGGATAGAACGAGGCGGCGCCGCGCATGTCGACCTGGTTGCCGCGGGCACGCCGCCGCGAAATCCCGTGATTTTGGTTGGGTGCGCTCCATGTTGGAAGGAATCATCACTGCTCAAGTCGGATTCTTTTTCTTCCAGCACAGGCGAGTACGACAAACAGGTGTTGTTAATTCTCGACGGAGGCCGTCTCGGGGTCTCACGCTCGCGGTAAGGGAGAATCGGCCTCTGAGATACCAAGCCATACTCCGGGTGGTCCTGCGCTGCAGCAGCAAGCCCCATATCCGGCGGCCCCGCCGTCATGGCTTTTGAAGTGAAGATGTCTTTCGACATCACAAGGTCCCTGGCCAGGAGCTCTGGGAGGTTGCAGTCGTCGAACATCAGCAGGGCGGGGACGGCGGGGGCGGCGGCGTCAGCCTCATAGCTGTAGCTGTTCGAGACACCGGAGACACCGGAGGATGAGGAGGAGGAGGAGGATGGGGGTGGTGACATGCTGGCCGAGACTGTGGACCAAGATGATGACGAGAACGACGACGACGACATCAGGGACCGGGGTGTTTGGGCTCGAGCCGGATCGGCGTGGCGTTTCATCCCTGCGCGGATCGCGTGTGTGTGTGGGTTTGCGGTCAATGGGCGTGTCCGAGACGTGCCGAGAGACAAGGCTGGTGTAAACTAGAGATCTCGTGGAACCTGGGATCTAGTGGTGGGGAAAATGGGTGGTGAGATAATTGGGGGGTTTTCTATATCGAAGTATGAGGCAACGGGTTGTCCTGAGCAAAAGAGACTATGCTGAGTCGACAGCGGAGGGCACGAAGTGTCAGAGAGCTGTGGGAGCACCCAGGGTCGGAAGAGACGTAGTGTATAAGTTCTGCAGTTGCCCCCCAGACCACGGTATATGTTTGAGACAAGCAAAACAAGGGGAACAGCCGAAGAATATGAGGGAGGATATGTCGTGACACCCAAGCTCCGTCGTTCAGTTGTGCCGAAAACGAGAACGGCTGGGCTGTTTGTCGTCCATTCAGTCCGTGCTCTTCCGGGCACAGAGTTGGGTGAACCAATATTACGGCGAGAGGAGAAGAAAAAAGAAAGAAAGACGGATAAGAGAGAAAAAAATCACAAAAAAAAAAGAAGGTGACCAATGCTGCAGGTGAGAAGAAGGTAGGGCCGGTATCAGTGGGCTGCATCCCACAGCGTCATCGGAAAAGTGAGCGCGCAACAAGATCACCACCCTCCTCACGTTCGGCGGAGCGCCATGCAGTACGCACATGCAAGAGACCTTCGACAACACCACATTCTTGGCTCGCCACTATTAACTCCTGCTGCTTAGCTGCAGGTGATCTGTACTCTAGGAGGGGCGCCCGAAGAGCGGGTCACTACGATGGCGAGAGAAATTTAAATAGCCGGCGCGAATGGCCTGCTCGTCCAACCTTGCTTTCTTTCCTGCGGGCGGGTCTGGTCTCGTGTTGAAATGCGCAAGAGATCAGAAACAGCGGATAGGTGCAGAACACTGCGAGGAATGCGGGCTGCCTTCCCGAAAACCGAGCCCTTTTTCCTGCGTTTGGCCGTGGGCCGTTCATGGGGTCGTCTTGGGTTGTGTGCTGCGTTCTCATTTGTGTAAATAATCCTAGTCAGAAAGGAGCTGACCTTACCTGGTACATACATACACGTACACAGATACATTCCAGCTGCTCTGCTTGGTTGACGTACGTGGGGAATGCCCAACGAGCAAGCACCCCCGCCTGACCCCTCCCTTAGCTCCCTTAGCTGCAGACAAAGATAGCTGCGGGCTACGTCAGACCCTCAGCGTTTGATGCTGAGTTCGAGATCTTCAAAACAGGACCTGTTGTGACCTGTTATTTTGTGAGAAATGGATCGCAGCGACGGCTCAACTCGACATGTTGCTTCGACACTCCTGTTGAAAAAACTGACCAAGACTCGGCACGGGCAATGGCCGTCAGAAAGTGATAAAGAGCCGGAAGGGACTTTTAGCCACTGCATACTGCACCACTGCAGGAACAAAAAAGAAATATCAACGGAGGGGCAGAAACTTCTTTGAATGGCGCCCATGCGGGCCACAGAGACGTGCCCCTCTCCATGTGTGATTGTTTCCGGAGCGGCCTAACCTGGAATCGACTTCGACCGAAGCCCAGCATCCCTCCATCGTAAAGTAAAAGACGGTGAAGTACGGGCGGGCATGGCCTTGCTGGAAGCACCTTTCAGCTCCTAGGGCAGTGGGGCCGGTGCAAGCTGCAAAGAATGCGAGGACCGGCGTCGGGTCGGCGTGCGGGCCGTGAAGTTGTGGGTTGGCCGGCCTTGCGGCTGAGATCGACGAATGATGCGGTTAATGGACCCACTTTCCTCCGTCAAAGCTCTTCGTACAACCAATCAGAGACGGTGTTCAAGAGGAAAAAGGAAAGTGCAATCCTTTTTTTTTTTTTCCCTTCCCCAGCAGCACTTCTTCGCGACTTCCAGGGTGACGAAGCAGGAGCAAACGAGCAATTGCCGGAAACCAAGCGAAACCGGCTTTTATCGGATTTCAGTTTCCAACACAACCCTTTACCATTTCCACTTGGGCTCAGCGTGAGGCGGCTTGCCCCACCCAGCATCATCCGGGGCAGTGAAACAATCTGATCCTGCAACACATCGGCCGGAATTCAGACTGGGGAGCAACCGCTTGCTGGCGTCACTGAGCAAAAACACACAGACTTCTCCGGCTGATTGTTGGTTTATGATTGGTTGTGTGTCACTTCATTGAATCAAGCCAACTTCAGTCGCAATTTTGTTGCTTGCTTTGACCCCCAAACACAAAGTCTCCCCCCCCCGGACGGGGTCTTAATGACGAAGGGGTTCAAGGACCTAGGGGTTAAAGGAAAGGTTGCGCATCCTGAGTTCGGGTCCTAACCGGCAAAGATGCTGACCGAGGAGTTCGTTTCAGCGATTTGCGGGGCCCCGCTCTCCTCTAACACGGCCATCGCCAAAGATGTTGGTATCTACTGCCACACTCTGAGCCCCACGTACTCTGTCAAGTCGACCTTCAAAAAGAGCTCGGCTCCGGTGAACTGCCTCGCCCTGAGTGAGACTCATATTTTCACGGCCCAGCATGAAAAGGCATACGTCCATGTCTACTCGAGGCCTCGGGGCAACCAGGAGGCGTTTGTGGCGTTTCCAGAAAGGATACGATGCATCACATTGATTGGAGATGTCCTTGCCATTGGCACGACTGAGGGCCGACTCATGCTTTGGGAGGTAAGAAACAAAAACTAACAAAGCCATTATGACGTTTGAGTATTGCCGGCTTAGAACAATACACTTCTGGTTTCGGATATGGCTAACGCCCACTCTTTCTTTATCCGCTCTAGACTTGTACCGGCCGGTTAGTGTCAACCCCAGCGCGCCATGTCCAAGCCGTGTCGTGTCTCGCAGGGACGCCCTACCACATCCTCACGGGCTCCGATGACTCGGACGTCCACGTGTGGTCTCTACCCCAACTGCTCGAGATAGACTCGACCGCCGAGCATGAGCCACTACGAAGCCTCTCCCACCACAGGGCTGCCATCACAGGGCTCTCTGTGAGCCCCAGCGTCAGCAGTGACACCAACTTCTGTGTCTCCGCCAGCAAGGACAAGTCTTGCATCATTTGGAACTATCAGACCGGCGACGCCCTGCGCACCCTGCTCTTCCCCAGCTTCCCCCTCTGTTTATCCCTCGACCCCTCATCCCGGGCCATCTGCGTGTCCTGCGAGGATGGCGCTCTCTATCTCGCGGAGGTCTTCGCGGAGAAACCACTCCTGGGCCCAGGAGCTGAAGAAGCCACAACAGTGGTCCAAATATCTTCCCCTTTCGGCGCGATACAACCCGATGTAGGTCCCGCGTCGTGCCTGAGCGTGAGCTACGACGGCGCCACGCTGCTCACGGGACACCCCAGGGGCCAGATCATGCAATGGGACATGGTAGCGAACCAGTCGCCCGTCGAGCTCGCCAACCTCAACGCCGCTGTCACCAATGTCGCCTTCCTCTCGCCGTTTCCTTCGGATAAGCCGACTACCACGGTCAACATTGTCAAGCCGTCGCAAGCGGAGCGCTCATACACCCTCGCTGTGCAATTTGACGCCTCTTACTCTTCCTCGCGCGCCGACACGCGGTTTGACTCGATGCTCAATACACCGGGGTTTGATGCGAAAACGTTGGAGGAGGCTGTCGCGGCGTTTCACCAACCGGCAGCAGCTGAATTGTCTACCTCCACCGCTGCCGCCGACCAGGACTTGAAGAAGCAGAATGAGGAGTTGTGGGAGATTATCAATGAGCAGAGGGCGCTGCATAAGCAGGCGCTTAAGCGGCAGACTGAGACAAAGGGGGGGAAGTGAGGTTGAGGCGCGGTGTGGGATGGATGTCTTGTATGGAATATGTCGTACATAGACTTGGTACTCTGTTTGGTGTAATAGGAAGGCGTATCGTCGGGCATGGTGTTCGTGCCTTGGAGGTCCGAGCGCGGTTTGGCTTCGTCATATCGCTAGAGTTGTGAACCGTTGTTGGTTTTGTTTTTGTTGTTGTCGTACCATTAAAGCCTGCCTTTAAACCTGCCGGCGACGGCTGAACTGGCTGCCAAACTCGACGCCTACTGCCTGTTACCCGCTGACCGAAGATTGTGGACGCAACATTGGAATCTCTAGGGGAACAAACCGGGGTCATCATTTGTGAGAACACAATGTAGCAAACACAAGCCCACGCTCCCCTGCCATTGGAATCAGAATATCCGGTCAACACAGCACAGACCGCACTGCCTTTTTGCCTTCTTTCTCCTGTTACCTCGCATAGTGGCACATGAAGCCTAGATCCATGCTGAAGTATACCCATGCTACTAAGTATGCTAACCACAAATATCCAGCGGGTACCGGCTTCAGCGGCCAGTAACACAAGAACCCCCAAGGAGAAATATAATCGGTATCATAATCGTTACACAGTACCCCTAGCTACTCTACACAACCTGCCGTACGCCGCCAGCTTAGCCTCTATCCGTCTAGGCACTCTATCTAAACCATGCCGTCAGAACCGACGCCCCGATCTAGATCTACCCTTCTATCTATCGTTACCAAATCTGAATCCCTACCCACCCCAACGCCAACGCCAACGCCAACGCCGCTTGTTGCACAACGCACCCCCTTACATACATACAACCCTCCGTACCTTACCACTAATCACACTCAACAATCACTCAAACATTACCCTCCTCTCCCCCTGTTATCCCCCCTGCAGACTACTGTACTGTCCCCAGTCAGGTCAGGTATCAATCACTCTTCCCACCTAACCCCCCCAACCTGCCCCCGTTCCGCCAAATCAGCCGTATTCACATTGCGTCCAGCATTCGTTCCACTCGGCCCAGCAGCATTAGACCCCATCATCGCCCCCGTAGCCGCCCCGCTCCCCTGCACCGGCCGGCCCCGATCATTGGTACCAACCCCAGTACTAGTATAATCCCTCGGATCACGCTTCGGCCCCGGTCGCGGACCGGCGGGTCCATTGCCCGGACCACGCCTCTGCTGGCCTCCCTGTCCTCCATTACCAGCACCGCCGGCGCCGTTACCGGCGCTGGTATTACTAGTCTGAGTGCCGACCGAAACGCGGTTTTCAGCAACGGCCACTTCCAAACCGTTGACAACGATTTTCTTGGCTTTGGAGTTGGATAGCGCGAGGAGTCCGGCTGAGATGAGGAGAAGACACATCATGATGAACCCGCCGACTTGGGTCATGTTGCCGGAGAAGGCGGCGACTAGGTAGACAAGGAGTTTTCCGGCTGCTTCGAAGTAGCCTTCTAGACTTGTTTTCTTACGGAGCCTGATGGATGGTTTTGTTAGCAAACGGTAGAACTTGGAAGAGAAAATGAGAGATAGTAAAGAGAACGTACCACCGCTGACTAGTAATCTCCTTAATATGACTCGCCTTGCCACGCAGTCTCACAATACTCCTCTGCTCCGCATCCGTAATCCTTACAATAAACTGGGAAATACGCTCCCGCGTACCGGAGAAGGACATCCGTCCGCCGCGGGTCCTGTTGCGGCGGGAGGGGGATTGGGGCCGTTGTTTGGGCGGGTTGGATCCTCCGCTGCTGCTACCGCTGGCACTGGCGCCGCGGCCGTCGAGGCTGGCGTTGTCGTCCACACCGATGCAGGCGTCGGCGGTTTTGGGGGTTTTGGCCGCGCGTTGCTTGATTACCCAGATGTTGAGGATGCGGGAGAGCATGAGGCCGAATATGCAGGTTAATGCCCACCCTGTTGTTCTGGTTAGCTGGGGTTGCTAGAGTCGGAAGTAGGATTACTAAGAAAGGGGTATGGTAAAAAGGGGACTCACAATCCTTAAAAACAACAATAAACCCAATAGCCGTAATAGTCAACAACGGCCCCATCAAATACAACGCATGCGAAATCCACCCCAAATCCGTATCCCCCCCACCCTCCTTCCAAGCCGTAGCATGCTTCCCACTATCCGACCGATGCAGCTTATACCGATGACTCCCCGCAATCGCCCTCCCCACATCCAGCGTCACCGTCTCGCCAGGTTTAGCCACCTTCTGGATATAATTCGCCGTCGCGGCATTATGCAATTTAAACACCACCGACGAAGGCGCCAGTTCATCGACAACGTCAATAATCGGGCCCGCTTGGCCCTTGCGGTACAATTCGTCGGCGGCTTGTTGGTAGTGGATGCCTGGTGCGAGGAGGAAGGTGTCGATCCAGCTGGCGCCGCCGCTGAGGGCGGTGCGCTGGGCGATGGTTTGGAGATCGGCGAGGGCGAGGACGCCGCTGGCGGAGAGGGCGAGGGTCGAGAAGGGTTTGGAGGTCCAGCCTGGGATGAAGGTTTTTGTGGACAGGGTGGCTGAGGTGGTCATGTTGGCTGTTGGTACCCTCTAGGGGTTGGGGTGCTGTGTAAAGGAGTGAGGGCGATACGGTGCCTGCCGTGTGTTGGTTTTGTTTCTCTTTTTTTTGACTTCTTGTTTCCTCTTACTCTTGTTTATCACCGTTCGGTTGTGTTTGGCCAAGGATTGAAAAGGAATGACAAGGGCCATATGTCCAAGGAGAAACCAGAAAATCAGATATCCAAAATGAAAAGGAGGGTGACCGCAAGGGAATTGGCCCTCCCATCTCCTCGGCGGCCAGCAGTCTCGGGAGACCACACATCTTAAAGCTGCGGTCCGGCGGTACTTCCCCATTAGTAGAGAAAGTCGAGAAAGTCGAGAAACACTCACCGACGCCGTGACCGTACGGCCGGGCGCATCTTGATACAGCCGGTGGTGAGGCCGGCCGCGTAGTTTCAAGGTCGGTGGCCGTGACGACGGGCCGTGTAAGTGGTTAACAATTTTGTGTGCGAGCCCCACCGGAACTTGTTAGTGGCCCGGCCAAAACGGGCCGCGACGTTGCGATGAAGGCACGGCGCTACTCGATGGTGCGGGAGTGGGGGTCGTGGGGGGCCCGGAATGGTCCGAGCTTGCGTGCTTGATGGACCGAATGCGGGGCCCGCCAAGACCTATAAACTGTGGGTCCCACTGCTGCCCGCATGTGGGGTTCCGCTTTTTCTTCGAAGCTCTGAACGAGCGGGAACATCCGTCATTTTTCCATCCTCCGTCGTCACTACACTACACGGTAGATTCGAACTCCCCCCCACGCCCCGCTCCCAGCGGCCACCATCAGGCATCGACGACCACATTGGCCTAGTGCACATTTCAAAACATTGGCTTGGGGATGCGTTAACCCCTAACGGCAGTCCCAAGTGCCATTGGGATAACTCGAGACGAAACTTGGCCGATACGGTTTCCCAGGAGAGCTCGACGTACAGACACTTCGATAACGACAACGGCCACAATGATCCGCCGCCTCATTTTCTTGCGCCTGGTGGGGCCTCGGAATCTGCTGCGCACATTTGCCCAAAGCCCAGCACGTCGTACCGAGTTCCGTGGCCGACCACAAGTGCCCTTCCTCTCCGTCACCACCAGTCGCGGCGGCGGACGGGTGCGCTATCTCACCACCGAACGGCGAGCCCAGCTCAAGTACGAGATCAAGACGGGAATCAAATACACCGGCTACATATGGATTGCCGGCGCCTCCTTCCTCGCCATCTGGTTCGCCGTCGTTCAGGAGCGCCTCGAGCGCAGGTATCCCACGCCCCACGAATGGAGCTATAGGACGCGCATGGATTTCCGCGGTGGGAACTGCGCGCGGTTTGAGCCGGAGCCAGGCCAAATTACCGATTGGCTGCAAGTCGCGTCGTGGTTTGAGACGACCGTCAGCCGGCTGCATGATCCCGCTATCGACGGGCAGGGCGTCAAGGATGCGCCGGGTGACTGCCCCCCGGGGACGAAGGACATTACCGAGAAGTCGGAGGAGTGGCGGATGGGGTATTACGAGGTGTTAATGGGGTTCGCCAAAGCAGCCGAGTACGTCGACGGCTGGGTGCTGGACAAGTCAAGAAACATCGTCTTCCCCGCGGGCACCATGATCGGCCCCTCCAACCCTTTCCCCAAACCCCTCCCCCCCGGATTCAAAGGGGCCCCACGCGAAGAAGACTGCTCAGTCCGCTTCGACTCCCCCGACCTCCACTACCTCCGCATCCTCTCCACCCCGGGCTTCACCAACCGCCAAAAAATCGACGCCGGCCTCGCCTACGCCTCCTGGCTCGACTTCAAAGGCACCACGGGCCCAGCCTCCCTCATCCTCGAAGACACAATCCACCTCGCCGCCACCGAACGCCCCAACCTCCCCTCCCCCCCCTTAAACCCCCAAACCTACACCCTCAACCCATCCGCCGGCCCCGCCTCCGAAAACCTCCTCACCGCCCTCACAGCCTACGCCACCTTCCACGCCCGCCACGGCAACCTCACCACCGCCCTTCCCATCTTCGTCTCCCTCCTCCGCGCCCGCCGCACCACCCCCCAACTCAACACCGACACCCCCCTCACCGCCGCCCTCGCCCACCAAACCCCGCGCTCCCTCAGCAGCCGCCGCTACGCCGACCCCGACCGCAGCATCTGGTCCCAACTCACGTCCTTCTTCCTGCCCCCCGCTTACCCCCCGCCTCCACCAGACGGCACCGCCCCGCCGCTAAGGGATAGCTTAGCGCTGTGTCAGGAGGCAGCGCTGTCGTTGCATATAGGCGAGATCATGTTCGCGACGACGACATCGGAGCGGGAGAGGGAGGAGGCGTTGGGGTGGACGAGGGAGGCGGTGGATATGGCGGAGGAACAGTTACATCGGGCGAAACCGCGGGAACAGGTTCACCATTTACCTGGGGATGATCCGGCGAGGACGGCGTGTAGGGAGTGTTTGGCTACGGGATTGGGGAACTGGACGGCTATGGTTTCTAAACTTGCCCGGGAAGAGGAGAAGAAACAAAAGAAGGCCGGCGGGACGCAGAAACAACAGAATTCGAGTGGATGGTTCTCTGGCCTGAGCCTGTGGAGCAGTGGCAATCCGGGAAGTAGTAACGGAAAAGCGGGAGGAGAAAACGGGGATGATCGGTGGGCGGCTGAGGCGAAAGTGATCCAGGACCGAAAAAAGAGGGCGGCGGAGTTGTTGGAGGATTTACCGCAGCCGCCGAGGGGGGTGTTTTCCTTTTTGCAGGCTTAGTCTGTTATTCGCAGGCTTAAGCTGTATTTTCAGGCTTAAGCTGTATTTACAGGCTGAGTCTGTATTTGCAGGCTTATTGGTCTTGGTTGGACCGGACTGAGGTAGATTGTCTGCTCAGATGGGGAAAGGTATGGTGCAAAATGGGAGATTAAGTTGGAGGAGGAGACTGAGGATGTGTTTGATATGCTGTATGAATATCGGATAGGGGGGAGATCGGGAGTGGAGTGTACGGGGTTTTGTTGCAACATAAGTACACCTGTAAAACCAAAGCAGCTCATGTTTGTTTAAGGGCAGGGCGGTTCAGTTGGGAACGGGCACAAAACAATTGTCAAGTCTGGCAGGAACAACTTCAAAATGAAACACACCGAAACAACAACAACGATCTGAAATCAGGCATTTGATTCGGTACTATTTGCAGGAATGGTACATGAGATCCCTTAACGCCCCCTCAAACGCCCTCCCTTACACCTGTCGCCGGCGCTAAATTCCCCGCCCAAAATCAAAACCACCGTTGATGTTTGCTGCCTCCTCTCATTCATTTCGGAAGGGCTGCTTGTATCTCCCCTTGACCATCAGACCAGCTAGTCAGTCCTGAGAGCCTTGATCTCCCCCACCAGATCCTTCATTTCCTGGGCATTCTGGTCAGTGTCGGAGAGAACACCGTCGATCTTGCCGTCGTGGTGTTCGGTGTTGGAACCACCGTCAGCTGTGATGGGACCGTCTCCAACCTGGGAACACTCTTTGGAGTGGTTTGCGCCAGTGTCAAGGTGGGTGTCAGGTTCGCCGGGCTGGGACGCTTCTCCGCTGGTTTGGGCACTGCTCTTGTCGGCATCAACAACGGGTATCTCGACAGGGACGGGACTGTTTTCGTTGGCCGTACTGTCAACTCGGCCCGTCGAACCCTTGATGCCGTCACCCCCACTCTCGCTCTCCCCGGCCCCGGCCGCTGGCTTCGGACCCTTATCCTCCCCCCCACCATCCCCATCCGACGTGCCCCACCACGAGCTTTGAGGCTCAGCATCGTTCTGATCGCCAAAAATCTCAAACACCGGGTTCTTGAACGACTCGCCCGCCATGGCCACCTCCTGAATGAACTTGAGGACAGACGGCAGCGCCTCGATGAGCATCGTCTCGACGTGTTGGGCTGCGCCGGCGCTGAAGACCGGGCATCCGTACTTGGTGAAGCCTGTCGTGCCGGGGTTGCCGTTGGGACCGGCTACGGGAATGCCGAGGGGCATGTGGTGGATGATGTATGCGCGGGCGCGCTGGAGGGGTTAATGAACTTGCCAGCGGAGAAGAATTAACCGTGAGAAATGAAAGTCAAACTTACTTCTTCCAAGAACTTCTTGAACCCGCCACACCTGGTCTCCCTGTCATAGAAACTGCCCAGCATCGACAAGCTGCTCAGTCTACCGCCCACCTTCTTCCACACCTCGTCATCATCCAGATACGTCTGCACCTCATCCGCGGTATCACCCAGAGCAATGATGTCCAGCTTTGCCTCCTTCTTCACACCAAGACCTTCAGCCCCTCCCGCCAGAACCAAATCAAACACCGCCCGCAAATGCTCCGCAACCGACCTGTGACCAGGAATCTCATTGGCCCCGGCATCATGGAACCTGCCCAGCGATACAGCGCTCGACATCGGAATGAAGTGCCTCTCCACATGTGTCAGCCCACGCCCGCCTTCCGGCCACCACCACAGCTCGCCGGTGTTGGTGAGCACAACGGCCGGGGGTGTGGGGTCTGTAGCAGAGCACTGCTGCTGGTCGTGCAGTGCGGTGATGAAGTTCAGCACGGAGCCACGTGCGATGCCGCCTTTACCGCCGATCACGCGCTGGGCTAGGATGCCGAGAGGCTGGCAGGACTCGCCGAAGAGGAGGACAACGCGGGTGGCCGTGGCTAGGTTGGGAGATGTGCGGATGGGGACGTGTGGGTCGCTGAGAGGTGTGTTGAGAGGGAGTCGGGTAGTAGTGAAGTCTAGGGCGTCAAGGCGGGCGTGGATTTCTTTCGAGGTAGCACCTAAGGAGAGAAATTGGTGTGTTAAATTATGTTCTCTCTCCGTTTGTAGGTGATGGTGTATGAAGGGAAACTCACCGTTGAAAGCAAAGCGCTGGCGCTCATTCCAGCGCTCGTTTTTGCTTATGAAGTACTTGAAGTAGTAGTCGGGGTTTTCGATCAGGCGGATTTCGTCAATTTCATTGATGAAGTAGCTGCAGCAGGGTACTCAGCAAGCGTAGGATAAGCAGAATTACGTTCTAATCGAGGAGAGAACATACCCCAGTTCCTTAAAGTTCGGTTGGAAAATGGGGTCGGCCGGAAGGCCTGACCAGCGACGACGAAACATTTTACCTGTGGCGCGGTTGAGGCGTTGGATATCGAGAGAGTTGTCGATTACGAACGGAAAATAGCGAAGATTGGGGTTGATGTTTTGGTTCAGAGACGCCTCTTGGTTCAAGTGTTGATAGAAAAATTAAGTATGAGATGGTGGTTTGGGCCCCCGGCCCCCGGTTACTAGGAAGGCAGGAGCGATTAGAGAAAAGCTGTTAGCCGTCCGGTTCTGTGTGCCATCATTGTTTGCGATCCATGAAACATTCAAAGTTCAATATCAGTCAAGTGCCAATGACCGAGGTCTAACAGAACGGTAGTCTGAAGCATGTATGGAATCAACATCCTTCAAAGCATATGGAAGCAACTTGTGGAATTTGGCTTGCAATTTGCTTGCCCGGGAGAGATGTTCCTGAACAGAAAGGAACTTTCCCATGAGCTGGGATAGGAGGGGACAACGGTTTGCGGGAAGCCGCGGGGGGTGGAGGGGGTGAGTTGGAAGAGGGCAAACAAACAGAACACAATTCACCAACTACCATCCAACAAATGCAAACGGGCAACCAACACAAAGCCCTAATCCAGTAACAATTTACTCTGCACTGTCACAGCACAGGTTAGGCCTTTCCACGGATCTCATTTTCCCAGGTTCACCACCCTTTTACCACAACAAACAACCGCATTGGCATTGAAACCACGGGCGATTGCACCACGGAACTCAAGATGGGGACAGTGCCCGCCCCCAAACCTAGCAATATAGTTGTCGACGACGAGCCGAAAATCACAGTTGGGAATGTCCAGTATCTTCTGGTACCCCACCATCAGGTTGCTTCTCCTATCCACATAGGTACCTGTAGCTTAAGGAAATGTTTCTTTGCTGACTCGCGTTGTAGAACTTCCTGGGATTCTCTGGCCACACCGATGTTGCCCTCATGGTCGTGTACCCGGTCGAGCCAGACTAGGCCATCTCCGCGACCGACTTGCGCGACTTTCGTACGAATGTGCTCGACAAAGACGATGTTTTTCAGGCCGAGTTCTGTCGCAATTTTGTCTTCTATGCACCCGGAGACAACAATTCGAAGCTGCAGCCCGAAGCCAAGGACGAGTTAGTCGCATGGAACACAAAGACTATAACCTTCGTACGCGGCGATCTATCATCCAAGGTTGCGCCAGGTCCATATGTATCCACGCGGGGCAGAACATGGCAGCCTTGGAGGATCTACCGCGACTTTAACGCCACTCTGATGTGCGGCTTCAAACCTTCATCCGAGAGTCCTGGGAGATGAGTTTTCTATTGCCATCGGCATGCCGGGCATGATGAGCTGACACTGCTTTACCCTCGTTGTCCTCGACACATCCGAGGCCGGTACAAACCAACGAGTCATTGTACCCTCCCGTTGTTACTTCAAGCCATCCAAGTCGCGCCCTCTCGACGGAGCCCGCATCACCGTCAAGGATAACACCGACATCGCAGGTCACAAAACTAGCCTGTGCAACCGAGCATGGCAGGAGCTGTACCCACCGAGCAGCAAGAATGCACACTGTGTCCAAGTCCTCATCGACGCCGGCGCCATCATTGTCGGTAAAGCAAAGCTCATGGCTATGATCATGAGGGAGGAGCCGCTGGAGTGTGTCGAATTCACAGCTCCGTTCAACCCACGCGGTGACGGTACCAGATATCCTCGGGGAGTAGTCATGGCAGTGCTGCGGGCGTCGCTTCCTATGACTGGCTTGACTTCTCCATTGGCTCAGACAGTTGGTGTCTCTTTGTTCTCATCAAGTTGTAGTTTTCCACGGACTGACTGTGTGTTACAGCTAACGGAAGCGGTCGTAAGCCTGCGCATTACAACGGCTGTTTCTCGATCCGCCCGTCAACAGGCATAATGAATACCGCTGGAGTCATTGGTCAATTTCCGTAAGCGCTTTTCACCGCACCATTGGCCACTTATTCGAAAGCGAAGTTCTCTCCATTCTGACTTGCCAGCCTATTCGACATGCCTGTGTTTTTCGGTAGGGACATCTCTACCTTTGCACAGTTTATATCTGTGTGGTACGGAGAGTCCCCGATGCTTCGTACACTCCCGAATGTTAGTTCACCAACCTTATTATCGGTTGTAGTGAGTGGCAGAGTCTGACATGTTTAACCTAGCCGCCGAAAGTCAAGATACTGTACCCGGCAGACTATCCGCCGACAGTCAACAACGTCCAGACTCACCTGATCAACAACTTTGTTAAGGGATTGGAACGAGCCCTGAATATCAAGAGAACCAAAATCTCGCTCGCCGGCACCTGGAGCTCGGATCTCCCTGATGGCGTGGATAATCAAGACCTAAAGAAGTACCTCGAGCTGGTAAGGAGCCCGTTCCCAAGACTGACTAGCTTGACACTGACCCTCTTACCCTTCTGTCTAGGCCGGAAGTTACCCTTACTACAGAGAGGCGTACTACTCACTGGTGCCATTCGTGATGGAATACCAAAACAAGTTTGGCAAGAGGCCCTTCATCCACAAAGCCATGTTGTGGCAGTGGTAAGTAATTACCGAAAAGGTGATACTTGGTCCCCGTCCCGTCTAGTCTGACAAACACACCAGGGACATTGCGAAAAAGATCACAAAGAAAGAGCGCGACTTCTATTGGCGTCGGTCTGAGACCTACCGGAAGTGGTTGCTGTCCAACATTTTCGACGCCAGCTCCCAAGACACTATCACTGTCATGGTCTTGCCCATCATGGATGGGAAGCCGGCCTACCGCGACGCCGAGCTGCCGTATGTTTTTCCCTTTCTGTTCCATTCCCTGGGCATCCTTCTAATGAGATGATACCACCCAAAGACCCTATTACGTCCTGAGCGGGTATTCGCCGCTGAACATGTCCCCAATGATGCAAGCACCAGAGGTTACGGCAATAGGTACGAGTCTCCTGTTCCTGCTGCCACCAGATCGGTATGGGCGCTAATCAACCACCACAGTGGGTGAGACCACACACGACTCGAGGGTCAGTCACAGACTGGAGCCGCTTCCTATTGCAGTGTCACTCATTGGGGCTCCAGGTACGAATTTCAGCTTCCATTCCTGCTGCTTCCAAGGTCGGAAAGGCTAACACCAGAGTCATAGGAACCGATCTCATTCTCGTTGACTTGGTTGAAAGGGCCATGAAAGCGGCCGAAATTCCAACCAAGCTGCAGACAGGGCGATATGTGTATGGGTCACCTTCTGGTGGTAACCAACCTCGTCCACAGTCGACTCTTTGATGCCTTGACAAAGTGGTTTCCAAGGCTGGGGCGCAAGGAGCAGCACGAGAGGAGAAGTTTATACTTTGCTAGGCTGAGAAAAGCAAGTACGATAACCCCGTACCGTGTGTTTTGCCAATGTTAAAATGCTCTAGAGTTCTTGCCGCCGCACTCCATTCCCAGTTTTATGTACTGGTTTTCCCAATTGAGGAGTGGGTTGCTTGAGAATAGCTACTTCTGAGCTTAGGAATATAAGAGTAACCAGAGGTCATGGCCCTTACGGCCGAGCCCAACGGCCGCATAAGCAGAGTAAAAATACCTTACGAAGTACCTATGTGGTCAGAATTGTCGTCCGTGGAGTTGCCGATTGCGTCCATATTATGTAGTGGGGCATTGGATCCACGCTCGGACCAACACTTTGCAGCCGCCCAAATTCTGCCCCACCGCCCGGCAGAATCCGGTGATGGAGGCACCGCCCGCAACGACGGACCTCGACAGCAAGTCAGTTCCCGCCCCCGAGCCGACCTAGGAACACGGCACTCCGCTGAATAACGGCCCAATCCCAATTAAAAGCCCGAATAGCACCGTAAAAATGTCGCAATTCAGGGCGAAAAAGTTCGACATTGGGTGCTTCACCAACATCAAGATCATCCGCGACCACTCCAAGCGGAAAGCCTTTCGCGATGCCGAGCCTGAAAGGTACCTACTAGCGCAACCGGCAACCCGCCGTCCCATCCCATAAATTCCCGCTATTTTGAATTGGAACAAGACTCACTAACATTGACTCCCTTCCGTTTAGACAAGCCCTCCGCTACATAATCCGCAACACCACCCTCCCCGCCCGTACCCGCGCCATGGCCCAGCTCCAACTGACGCAGATGCACTGCTACACACGGCCGACGCAAATCAAGAACAGGTGTATTCTGGGTGGGAAAGCGAGGGGTGTTTTTAGTGATTTTAAGATGACTAGGGTAGGTGCACACATGAACGATAGCGGTGGTTCGGTAGTGGGAGTTTGGTTTGGTTTGGGAGGAGTTGAGTGCTAACATGTTTGGGTTTTAGTATAATTTCCGGTTGCAGGCGTTAGCGGGGAATTTACCGGGTGTGACGAAGGCGAGTTGGTAGAGGGGTTGTGGGATGGATTTGGGAGGGGTGGGCGAGCGACCAGGGGCGTACCTCGGTGACCTTCGGTCGAGGGCATGGGCCGAAAGTGATGGGAATGCTTTTGGTTCCAGCAAGGCATGGAAAGATGTGCGCGGGCCGGTGTGTCTGGGTCAGACATCATATCATGAATGTCATGTACGATTTATGTTCCACTGTATAAAAAGCAACTCATAACATATATTTCCTTCCGCAATACGCCTAACCCCATGCAGCCAGGATCCCAAGACATGCCAGCCATCTATAATGAATGGTGTGTGAAACGCCATCCCCTGCCCGAAAATGTTGAAGTAGTTTACAGCACCCAGTCCTTTACAAAATATTGCTACTGGTCTCTTCGGCGGCCACGGCCTGGCCGACAGCATTGGCTGCAGCGGCCTTCTCGCCGGCGCGCTTCCTCAGCACGTTCTCGATAAAAGCCTCACCGGCCTTGTATGACGAGCGAACCAGCGGGCCGCTGGCACAGTACAGGAAACCCATATCGAGAGCCCGCTGCCTCCAGATCTCGAACTCATCTGGGGTGACGTAGCGCTCAACCTTGAGGTGACGCTTGGTTGGCCGCATGTACTGGCCAAAGGTCACCACATCGACGTCGATCTTCCTCAACTCTGTAATAAACAGCGGTTAGTGTCACGTCCCAGTTACCAACGCGTTGCGAGCAAAACTTACCCCTAAGCGTCTCCCAAATCTCCTCCTCCTGCTCACCCAAGCCCAACATGATGCTAGTCTTGGTAATAATCCCCTCCTTCCCCTTCACCGCCTTCACATGTTCCAGCACCTTCAAACTCTGCCGAAACGTAGCCCTCCGATCACGCACATACGGCGTCAACCCCTCCACCGTCTCAACATTATGCGCATACACATCCAGCCCACTCTCCGCCACCACCTTCACCATATCCAAATCCCCCCTAAAATCCCCCGTCAACGCCTCCACCAACATAGTCGGCTTCTTCGTCTTAATCCTCCGAATCGTTTCCGCAAAGTGCCTCGCCCCACCATCCGCCAGATCATCCCGGTCCACACTCGTCAGCACCACATACCCCAGCCCCCAACGCGCCAGCGCCTCCGCCGTGTTCTCCGGCTCATGCGGATCCAACGGCGGCGGCGCGCGGTTGGTCTTGACGCTGCAGAAGCGGCACCCACGCGTGCAGGTATCGCCCATCAGCATGATCGTCGCCGTCGCGGCCGCCTTGCTGCCGCCGCCCCAGCACTCGCCGATGTTTGGGCAGCGCGCCTCTTCGCAGACTGTGTGTAGGCCGAGACCGCGTAGGTCGGATTTGATCTTGCTGAAGCCGGCGTTGGAACCGGGGGCCGGGATTGGGGTCTTGAGCCAGTCGGGGAGACGTGTGATGGTGCGCTTGCGTCCTTCGGGTCCGACGGTTGCGGTGCGGGGTTCGTAGGCTTCGCTCGCGGAGAGGGGCGTGGTGGGGGCGGAGGGGAGGAATTCGGAGAAGGAGGCTACGGTGGTGTCTTTGAAGTAGCTTGGGCGGGGCTTGGGGGTATCGGTGGTGGTGGGTGTTGTTGTGAGGGTAGATTGCGGTTGCTGGGGGTCGGAAGTCGGTGGGATAGTGGCGTAGTTGTGACGGGAGGACAATAGGACACCACGGGCTAGTGAGCGCCGGAGTGGCAGTTGTACCCTGCGGAGGGGTATCGCGGACGGCATGATGTTGGTGTTGTGAGCCTTGTTGTGCTCATAAGGCGGTGTTGGAGGAAAATCTCTGGCGTTGACTTGTCGTCGGCTAAGAGCGGCGATGGCTTACAATTAATTCTAGCGGCAGAAAAAAGGTCCCGATGGGCCCGGCCGGGTTTGCCGCTTGGCATCGCGCCAACGCATGCACGGTGGTGCAAAGCTTCCGGGTTCGGGTTGAACCCGAAGGTTGGAGAGAGAGCAGATTTGCATGGCGCAATGGTGAATCGGAGAAGTGCGAATCTCAATCATCTCATGTAAATAATGTTTTTCTAGTTACTTGCATAGGTATGTTCGCTAAGCAGGCAACACACTCCCGGAGGTGAACTCGCAGCGATGTCAATTATCGTTAACACCCGGACCTGAGGCCCCGCCTCCGGCCGTATGTGGAAAAGCAATGTCTGGGAGCACATGCATCCCAAAATGTTCCGCGAGTCCGTTACCCCACCCTCAGCGCGAAGTGTACATACACAGACAGTAGTAGCCTGAGAAAATACGGCTATGGAATACGGTGGAATGAGAAACTTAGAAAATACGATAACTAGCGGACATGCATCCGAGGGTGAAGGTAGTTAGGTTGTTGGTGATGAAACGGAGCTGCGACAGCCTGAAGTGTCACGCTGTGGTTCCGAGATGTCCTGGTAAGACCTAGGGAACTCGGCCGCCGGAAATGGCGGGGAGCTCATTGTCGAAGGTGGCTGTGATTGGGAGCTACTTTTTTCTACTAGGTACGAGTACTTCGTTTAGAATTGATGATTCGAAAGGCTTTTAGAGCAGCACTGCCGACAAAAACACACTGCGCCTTTGTCAAACCACGCAGTCCAGTGACGTACTGAAAGGAACGCCCACTGGGAAAAGGACAAAATTTTGTAGGCCTTGGAAACAAAGCACGAGGAACGCAAGCTGTGCCTGTTTGATTTGGAGTCTCTTTCTCCTTGGCAATGTGGATCGCTCGTAGATATGTTAAGAACATAACAGTAATTGCAGCATGTCCCACCACAAGATGCTAAAGAGAAAAGTGATTGTTTCAGTCGTCAGACGGCCCACCTGACACAGCCGTGCTCCCCAGTTAGCCCCCCTGCCGGAATGGCTGGCTGGCGTGTTGTCTGCACAAAACAGGGTCGTCAACCACCTAGCTGGGCTGCGCAACGCCTCCCAACATTTCGCATTCATCATCCTGCAACCTCCACACCCGCACTTACCACCACTATTACCACCACCGTATAAACACTCGCCGGTATTTTCCATCCAAGCGCTGAACATTTTTCATCGCCTGACTCTCGACTTGCGATCGCTTTTCGTCACCGATTCTCAATCCACCGACAGACCCGCTACCAACTTCCAAAATGGCGTCAGCATACGACCCCCCTCGCCCGCGCGGTGACGGCGGAGCTACAACGGACCAAATTCAACATGTGGGTCGAGGATTCTTTTTTATCAATAAGCGCTGTGAATTACCGGCTGGACTACAGGCTGGATTTGGAGGCGCGCATGATGCTGTTCAAGGTTACCCGCTCCCCGGCCTCGGCCGCCTCTTGGAGCCGTTCGGCAAATGGGAAATCCAGCCGAACGAGTATCTACAAATCAAGGTGGTCGTCAATAGGCCTTGCCATAATGGCATTCAGTTCAACGGTCCCTGCGATGTGAACTCGGTATTACATGCACGCAGCGGTCGGGACGACTGGGAGGCCGTTGGGCCAGGTCGACAGAGGGGGGATGCGGGGGCCTTCGCTTCATATCGGGCCAAAACAGCAGATACCTCGTTTCTTGACGATTCATGGGGTCATGAGGTTTACCAAAATGCAGCGACGTGGAGACTGACGTTTTGTTATTGCTATAGGAAATCGATTCCACGATCAAGGTGATGCACGAGAACATCGTCCAGACCGACCAACGTGGTCATGGTCTGAATCGCCTCGAGGATGCGACAGGTGGCCTTGCGGACTCGGCTGGTGACTTCCGGCGCGGTACCAACCGTTTGCGGAAGAAGATGTGGTGGAAGGTGAGCGAGCACACGACTCTGGTTTCCAAGAGGCGGCGATTGACATTTGTTTGTACAGGACATGAAGATGCGCATCTGGCTGGGTGTCGGTATTGTTGTCCTTCTCGCCATCATCATCATTCCAGCAGGTATGCTGTTACCCCTATCATTGATAACCAAGTCCCGGACGCTGACAGCACCTCTCTAGTGGTCACGTCGAGGTAATCAACTCATGACTTTGACGACCTCGACGGGCGTTACGCAGGGCTGAAACAGTGTCTCATCACCTGTCACTACCGCCGGGGAATGATACGTGCTCGTTTTGGGATCCTTTTTTTTCTGGGAGTTTAATTTATGATTTCAACGGCTCGCGGTTGATCGCCACCATGGTCTAGCCGCGGGTCGCTCGGCGTTGTGTGGATCTGAGTCCGGAGTGGCACTTCCTCCGAATGTAGATGTACTTATGATGATTCGAGGGAGCAGGTTCCCCAATGCGATTAATCAATATGGCGGTTATGACCGGTTTTTTAGGAGTCTCGCCTAGTACTGCTAGTTGCGACTTGGACCTCTGGAAAATGAACACAAAATTGTGATTTTGCGGCGTTACAGTTCACGTCCCTTTATGTCGTTTACCTCCGTGTTATACATCCCTGGATTGCGCACCTTGCCGTCCCGTTCACCTACCTCTCTTTTCTGGTTGACCTCCTCTCGAATTTGGAATCATGTTCTGGGGTAACTCGTGGCCTTCCTGCAGGCCGATGTCATAGGCCTTGGCACTAGCGCGACTTGACGTCCGAGTCCGGCTTTGCGTCTACCAATTTGATCGCTATAAACCGCCTAAAATGCATGCGGTTACGTTTCAGCAAGGCTTAAGGCACAAGTATGCATCCCCGGCTTTATTTGGAGCAGATCGTTTAACTATGTGTTCATGGCTGGCTGAAGGAGTCTGATGCCGAAGTCGCTCGCATAAGTGATTAGAGGGAGGCAGTGATTGACGACGGTCTGGGCTGCTGAAAACCGTTGCGGAGCAGCTGAGGGTCCCCCATTGGAAGCAACCAGCCCCCCCTCCAGCGACTTCGGTGTAAATTTTTCTTCCCGCACGGTTGCCCCTCCATTCACCGCGGGCACTTGGCCAACAACCCCAATCGATTGCCCTCTTAGGTTTTCAGGATAAAGAAAGAACAAAATCCTGGAGTCACCTACCTGCTACCAAGCAACTCTGGCTTTGCTCCCGGCCTCGACCTCGTGCCATTGACTTCCGGCAGGGCCTCCGCCTTTCGTCCGCCGAAGATCGCCCGTCAATGGTCGGTCGTGCGCTTGCAATTGACTCATCCGAGGCCAAGTTGCACTGAACCCGCTCCCACTCTCCAATCACCATCCGTCTCCATTCCCAATCTTCACTCGCGTGTGAAGGAACTTCCAATTCACCCGAAGTTTTCGATATTTTCGAACATTTCGATATCTCCTTCTCAGCACCATATAGTACTGGGTCTTCCTCCCTTCCTACTCCCCATTAAAAAGCATTCTTATTAGCATCCCCGCCGTCCGATAAGTGGCTCAGCAGCATTCGACAAGATGCTCTCAGCCTGTGCCGTCGCCGTGCGTGCGGGCGCCCGCCGTAGCGTCCGCCGTCTGCCCCGGTCTCGCGCCGCGGCCGTACCCCCTGCTCTCCGCCGTGCGAGGCCGTTCTCGACGACCGCCATCCGTCCCACCGATCTCACCACGCGGGGCATGATCGTGCAGACCCTGTCGTCTGTAGGATCGAAGCGCGAGGTCCAGCAGTACCTCTCGCTCTTCACATCCGTCTCCTCGCAACGTTTCGCCGTGATTAAGGTCGGCGGCGCCATTCTTACCGATTACCTCGACGAGCTCTGCTCCAGCTTGGCGTTCCTTTATACCGTCGGCCTCTATCCCGTCATCGTCCATGGAGCCGGCCCGCAGCTCAACACCCTGCTCGAGCAGGCCGGGGTTGAACCACAATTCGAGGAGGGAATTCGGGTGACAGACGCCAAGACACTACGGGTAGCCCGCGACCTGTTCCTCCAGGAGAATCTCAACCTGGTCAACAAGCTGGAGGAGAAGGGCGTGCACGCCCAGCCGTTGACTACTGGCATGTTCCGGGCCGACTATCTGAACAAGGAGAAGTGGGGTTTGGTGGGAAAGATCACGGGTGTCAACAAGCAGCCCATCGAGACGGCCATTAACAATGGTTATCTCCCCATTCTTACCTCTATGGCCGAGACCGACGACGGCCAGATCCTTAACGTCAATGCCGATGTGGCAGCTGCCGAGCTGGCGCGCGCCCTGGAGCCCCTCAAGGTGGTCTATTTGTCTGAAAAGGGCGGGCTGTTCGATGCGGGTGGTCAGAAGATCTCGGCCATTAACCTCGACGAGGAGTTCGAGCACCTGATGTCGCAACCGTGGGTAAAATACGGCACCCGCTTGAAGATCAAGGAAATCAAGGAGCTGCTCGACACCCTCCCGCGCGCTACAAGCGTTGCCATCATCCACCCCGGCGAGCTCCAGAAGGAGCTGTTTACCGACTCCGGTGCCGGTACTCTCATTCGCCGTGGCAGCAAGCTCGTCTCCGCCACCAGCCTGTCTGAGTTCAAGGATCTCAATGCCCTCAAGGAGGTGCTCATTCGCGACCGGGAAGGCCCCGATGCCAAGGCGACCGTCGACAAGTACCTCGAGTTCCTCGGTGAGAACGACTTCAAGGCGTACTACGATGGCCCTATGAATGCCCTCGCGGTAGTCCTTCCTGCAAAGGACGGCCGTCAGGCCACTTTGGCTACCTTGACCATCACCAAGTCTGGGTGGCTGACCAACGTTGCCGACAACATCTTCACTGTCCTCCGCAAGGAGCACCCTCAGCTTGTGTGGACCGTCCGCGAAGACGACGAGAATCTTGCCTGGTTCTTTGACAAGGCCGATGGCAGCATCACTCGGGATGGCAGCGTGATGTTCTGGTACGGAATTGAGAATGGGGAGGAGGTTGTTCAGTTGATGAAGGACTTCACCCAAAACGGCCGTGCCATGCTTGGTGACTCCAACCTCGAGTCCCGTCTTCACCGCGCCGCTGCCAACGTCTCCCGGCCCGCTTCCCAACAGCCGCCGCAGGCCCAGCAGGCGCGCGGTTACTCGACCTTCGCCCGCCGTCCCATCCTCCCTACTCCGGTCTTCAACCAGCCCGCCAGCCGGAGGACATACGTGACCCAGACCAACCCCAACCCCCCAATCGGCAAGAAGAACGCCTCCAAGTCCCAGCCGGCTCGCGTGGCGCTCATCGGCGCTCGCGGCTTTACTGGGCAGGAGTTGATCCGCCTGCTCGACCTGCACCCGAACATGGACCTTCGTCACGTTTCGTCGCGTGAACTCGCGGGTACCAAGCTCGACGGGTACAACAAGCGGGATGTCATCTACGAGAACCTTAGCCCCGAGGACGTCAAGGATATGGAGTGCCGTGGTGACATCGATTGCTGGGTCATGGCCCTCCCCAACGGCGTGTGCAAGCCGTTCGTCGAGGCCGTCTACGAAGGCCGCAAGGGCTCCGACCACAAGAGCGTCATCGTCGATCTCTCCGCCGACTACCGTTTCGACAACAGCTGGACCTACGGCCTCCCCGAGCTCGTCCCCCGCTCCGACCTCACCCAGGCCACCCAGATCGCCAACCCTGGCTGCTATGCCACCGCGGCACAGCTCGGCATCGCGCCCCTAGTCCCCCACCTCGGCGGCATGCCCCACGTCTTCGGCGTGTCGGGCTACTCGGGCGCGGGCACCAAGCCATCTCCCAAGAACGACGTCGGCCTCCTGACCGACAACATCATCCCGTACAGCCTGACGGGCCACATCCACGAGCGCGAGGTCAGCGCGCAGCTCGGCGCGCAGGTGGCCTTCGTCCCGCACGTGGCCGTCTGGTTCCGCGGCATCCACCACACCATCTCGATCCCGCTCAGCAAGACTATGACGTCGCGCGACATCCGCCAGATCTACCAGGACCGGTACGCCGGCGAGAAGTTGGTCAAGGTGGTGGGCGAGGCACCGCTGGTCAAGAACATCAGTGGCAAGCACGGCGTGGAGATTGGCGGGTTTGAAGTGGACAAGTCGGGCAAGCGGGTTGTGGTGTGTGCTACTATCGATAACCTGCTCAAGGGTGCTGCGACGCAATGTTTGCGTGAGTTCTTTTCTCTTCCCCTCCCTGGTTTTTCCCCATCTCATCCGACACACGGTATGCTAACAACGTAACCCCAAAAATAGAAAACATGAACCTCGCCCTGGGCTATGCCGAGTACGAGGGTATCCCCGTTATGTAAACTTTGCCTAACCTATCTCCCTATCCCTTGATCAACCTTCACACCATACCACACAATGGCACCCATAGCACAGCGCCCCTCGTATATATATGCGTTACTTTTCTTCGGCATAACTATACGGGAGATAGAACGTGCGTGCGGCGATCTTTTGGCGGATTCAAATCTGGGTTTACAACTCCCTTTCGAGCTTTTGTTCTTTTTTTCTCGCCGTTATATTCACGAGACGGTTTAAATGGTTTTTGTTTTTTTGTCTTTATTCCGGAGTTTGGGATGGAGAGAATCTTTCGTCAAATCTTTCCCACTAAAAACGGTTGTTTTCGGGCTTCGGCTATATGAATGAGGACGAAAGGGGGCTAGACACAATGGTGGGGAATGGATGAAGTTGCAAAACCTGCTTCAGTGGCTGTGTTGTGTGTTTGTGTATGTACATAAGGCAACTGAGAATGAGCGGCCGTTACGATGGTACGAGTGATGCTTTGGGTTGTGAGGTGTCGGTTCCGATGATATGTCTCGTGTGTTGTCTTTGTGGGCGTTGTTTTGTTTACAGGCGCTGTCTGAAATACCCCATCCGTGCAGTGAATATGGGTTAGCTCAAGAGAGGTTTAGTTCAGTAGTTCAGTACCTTCGGCATCAAACAAACACATGTCTTCCAGAGAGAGCATGTAAGAGGTAGGAGTGCCATGTTATTACGTTTATTATATTTGTTATATCTAGGTACCAGCTATGGTCGTTGTAAAATTATTCGGGTGTTAAATTGCGGGCATGTCAAATACGGAGTGACATAGTTGGGAACTGATTGCACTCTATTCAGGTCACATTTACACCGATAGGCACTCGAAGGGATCAACCAAGTGTGGCTGACATGCTCGAGTCGGCAGCCCATAAAACCTACCTCTTCCTCTCCGCTCAAGTACCACAACAATGGATGGATGTAACGGTAAGGGATAGGCGGCTATTCACCGCTTGAAAGGTTGTCAACACCACACTTCGACCCAGTACTCACCAGATCGGCAGGTTTGTTTGGCGTCAGCAGTGGTGAAGCGGATTCTCCGATGCCGGGAGAACGACCATGGGTGGCGAGGGGGAGAGAAAAAGGTTCCTGGAACCAGTCAGCTCTAGTCCATCGTCTAGAAGAACGAGAGATGGGGCTTAACGCAAGGGTTTCTCTGGTTGAGCAGCTTTGCCTCCCACCTCTTGAATCTGGCCTCTGTCCTTTGTTTTGCGCTTTGTTCAACGTTTTTTAGTTTGGGGGTCTCCCTTTAATATTTTTCTTTTGTTTTTCATTTTCTTCTTCATTTTCTTTTGGTCATTTTTTTCTCTCTTTTCTCTCGCTTGTTTTCCCCTCTAAATTATTCTCGCCGCACTGCCAACACGCCTGTCAAACCCAATGCGCTCTAGGTCATCTTTGATCAAATATCAGCAAGCTCCCCAAGCATGCTGTACTGGGCGCCTGCACCAGCCCAGACAAATCGCTTGTCAACGACGGAAGAGCGAATGGGCGTGGCCACTTCCACTTCCTCCTCCTTCTGAGCAATCTGCTTGGTCAGGTTGAGACCCCAAGAGTAGACCTGCTCATTGACCGTGACAGCGAGGCTGTGTTCACTTGCCGCGGCCACGAAAGCGGGTTCCAACTCTGGCACGGCCGTCGGGACGCGGAGGAAGCTTGGTTTGCTCCGTGAGTCGAGAACGACGAATTGCGGTGGCAGAGTGTCAATCTTGAGGCCGGTCGCGAAGGAATAGAGACGGCCCCAGGTGAGACACTGCCCAGTCTCGGCGATTGCGATGCTGTGGAAATTGCCGCCGGTGATTTGGGTGATGCGTGGCAACCCGACCAGGCTTTTGAGGAGACTGGGGACCGAGACGGTGAGAGCGGTTTCGTACTCGGACTCATACCTGCTGGTGATGTCTATAGTCCCGAGCTGGCCAGCATTATTGAAGCCCCAGCCATACACCAGGCCGACACGGTCAATAGCGAAGGAGTGGTTGAGCCGGAGCCGATCTCGACGATATGCTTCAGGTCGGCAACTTTCCTTGGGATGAGACCCTCCTTGCTCCAGTCGACGACGCGGGAAGAGAAGCGACGGCCAAGTTGAGCATCGGTACCGCGTCCCCAAGTGTACACGAAACCATCCGCGGTGAGGGCCAGGACATGATTGCTCCCACAACATATCTTAATGATGTTCTGGACTGCAGCGACGAGAGCTGGGCGTGTTTGTACCTGGACTGTAGGTGTGAACGACAGCTTGCCGTCCTCGGACTAGAAACATGTTAGTAAGCGTGTCGAATGGAGGCCACTCGTAATAAACAAAGGACAAACCCGAAAGCTACCCCATCCATAAACACGGCCAGTGTTAGTGAGGGCAAATGTTGCGTTGTCCGTAGCGGCTATTTGAGTGAATACGGTATCTGGGGGCATAGCGTTTGTGTCGATCGGGGTTGGTGTGGATTCCTTCGGGTTCAACTCGCCCTCATCCTCACTGTCGCTCCCATCCTCGTCCATATCAACCAGGCCGCCATCCCAGCTGGTGTCGCGTCCCAGAGCACCGTGGTCGTTGACGCCCCAGGTCAAAATCGTATTGTCCCGTGTCAGGGCAACACCATGCATAGCACCGAGCGAGAGTTGGACAACGCCCACAGACCCGGAAAGGTACGGGTTGAGACGCGGCTTCCCGATGGACCCCGACTTAACGGAGGGCCCAAGTCCCAATTCTCCGCCGCTGTTGGCACCCATCACGTAGATGTTCAAGGGCCGGACCGGCCTCTGGGTAAGGACAGGTAAGACTTTGGCGGATCCTCTCCCGCGTGCTGTTTGTGGTCGAGACTTTGGTCGTGGCACGGGCTCCTCGGCCTGGGCGATTTCTGTTTTCGCTGACGTCCGCTGGCGTTTGAGACGACCTTCTGGTGCGGCCTCATTCGTTTCGTGTGCCGTTCTCTTCAGGAGTCGCCCCGAACGAGCGTTGGATTTTGCTGTCGGTATCTTTTGTGCCATCTCGGAGGTTTAGGAGATTCGATTTTGATGGAGGCTGTCTTTCGTTTTCCCCTGCTTTCAATTACAAACGGGCGAGGCGGCCGAGCCGGATTGGATTTTGAGAAATAAAAATAGCGCTCAACTCGGGAACCTTCGAGATTTCCCTTTTTGCTGACCGTGCTGAGCCGTTGGTTCAACCTGGAAGGGATCAAAGACGTGTATTAGTCATCATTGAGCTTGGCTGCTGATTCCGCACCATTCCCAATTCGGAAAAGGGCTGTAATTCAATTGTTCCACATTGACTTCTTCCTTTTTCGTTCTGCACATCCTTTCCGGCACCAACAAGCAGATATGAGGGCGGCGGAAGGATGAAACGCGTTCGAGGCGCCTTGGGCCATGAGGTGGACTTCGGCGGGTGGGACTAGTTTGAAGGACGCGCTCCAGTGAAAGACCGACGCTTCTTCCCGCTGCGGCGCATGGAGTCGGCATTGCATGTTGGAGATCCACTCAAAACGTGCATGACCCTGAAGGGAACATCATTGTTTCCAACGGCTTGTCATCCATCCTCAACACCAAAAGGAGGTCCTTTTGTCTTCTATCCCTTCTATCAGGTATCGCCCGGGCATTTGCGGAGGTTTCCATGCTTTGAGCTTTGAGCTTCTCGTATTCAACCGTCCCCGTCTGCCGAGCTTGCCGCCAGAAGCCGAGGACAGCTCAAGTGCCACTTTTATGACTCGGCCGACATCGCCTACACCCACTAACACGCCTCGGTTAACTGCGTCATAAAACAGCAACAACAAAAACGCCATCGTTCACCATGATTGAGCTTCCCCTGGATCACGGCTCCCTCGAGCACCTCCTCCCGGTCTCTTGGAAAACCCAAATCACCGCCTGGCTCGCCGAAGACACCCCCTCCTTCGACGTCGGTGGCTTCGTCGTCGGCGACGCCCAGCGCAGCGCAACCCTCTGGGGCAAATCCTCCGGCATCCTCGCCGGCGTCCCCTTTTTCAACGAGGTCTTCACCCAATGCGGATGCACCGTGGAATGGCATGCCCGCGAGGGTTCCCATGTCGAGACGCACGGGGGTAAGACGGCGTTGGCGACGGTGAGGGGCCCTGCGCGCGGCCTGTTGGAAGGCGAGCGGGTGGCCCTCAACATTCTGGCTCGCTGCTCTGGAATTGCTAGCAAGAGCCGCCGATTGCTGGTTAACCTGCGCACTGCTGGGTGGGAGGGTACTCTCGCCGGCACGCGGAAGACGACGCCGGGTTTCCGTCTTGTTGAGAAGTATGGCATGCTCATCGGTGGCGCTGATACCCACCGCATGGACCTGAGTACCATGACTATGCTCAAGGATAACCACGTGTGGAGCCGTGGGAGCATTACCCAGGCCGTTAAGGCTGCCAAGGCCGCTGGTGGTTTTAGTCTGAAGGTCGAGGTTGAGGTTCAGAGCGAGGAGGAAGCGGATGAAGCTATTGCCGCTGGCGCCGATGTTGTCATGCTGGACAACTTCACTGGCGAGGGCGTCAAGGTTGCTTCACGCAGCCTCAAGCAGAGGTGGGCTGGGAAGAAGCATTTCTTGGTTGAGGTTTCGGGCGGTTTGACTGAGGAGAATGCCGAGGCCTATGTTTGCAGCGGTAGGAATCCCCCCTTTCCCCTTCTTTCCTCGTCCCTTTCCGCGTTTTTTTCTTTTTCGGATTTTATACACCCGTTCCCTTCCCCGGCGCACGAACTACGCACCAGCCCCAGTGGGCGCGCGAAACGAAGAAGCAGAAGAAAACAACCGAGACAAACGCGGACAGGAAAACTAGCCAATGTAGCTCATGCTAACGAACATTACAGACGTCGATATCCTCTCGACAAGCTCCATCCACCAGGGCGTAAGCCACGTTGACTTTTCTCTCAAGATCAACGTCGAAAAGGGGGATGGCCCGCAGTTGTCTAGCTGAGAGAAGCAAATAGAACGAGCATGAATGAGCTCACAGGCGCAAGCCATAATCACAAATTGGCGAACGAAATCCGAAGATTAATTCTTGACGCACCATCCTTTGCCGATGTACCCAACCTGCCATATCTGTGATTTCTTGGAAGCTAGTGGTTGGGACAGAAAGCTTTGGCAGCGGTCTCAACTTAACGTACCTAATCTCTTTCTCACTGTTTATATACCCACCGGGAATGATTGCCAATGCTCCGGGTAGCTTTACCGCGGTAATCAGTGGTTGGAGGGCCCGGGGTATGATAGACCTAGTATTCTCTCGAGTATCGCAGATGAAAACAATGTGTGAATTTTGAGTAACACAATCTTGTCCAAGCGAGCCGTCTGTTTCTGGCTAAAGTTTTATTCGATACTGTCCTATATCGCGGGGTTTGATGAGATGGGTATCCTGTGGCCGGGATTGGCACAACTCTCGATGCCGTGTCCGGCCGCGATCAGACGGGAGGCTACAGCCTCACCCAAGATCCATCACCGTTTGTTATATCCTTTCGGGGAGAAAGCTATGCCCAAGGTTGATACCACCACCCTGAATAGTGGAGAACGGCCCGAGGCATTCCAACAAACGGCGTGAATGATGGTAGAGGGCAGCACTGGGACCCACTAAACGGCCCCCAAGGCATTCTTTTTAGAAGGATGGGTGCACCAACAGCCTCGTTCATAGCCGCCGGGTGACTCGAACACCGCAGGCGTTGGTGATTGGGCGATTTACAGACGGGACGTCCAGTCCACGATTCCAAGTCAAACACAAAGAACAGCTAAACCGGGGAGATTCCAGTTTGCCATTGTGGCGTCGGCAGCCTTGTTGGGAGAACTGCATTTGAGCGGGACAGCGACGAAGTTCACAAAATCACAAAATAACAACCCTATTTAGAGACCAGTTGCCCTGAACGTTGGGACAGACTTTGGCGGCCTCGTCGCCTGTAAAAGTATATAACCCTGGGGGATTCCACCCTTGGATTTACATTTTGTCCAAACTCTCCCCTCCCAAGCTGTTGCCTTACCAAAACAATTCATTCCGCTTCCACAATTAGGCCCGACTTTCATCCACTGCATCGTCTGCACTACACAACACCGTACAAGCAAAATGTAGGTTACTTTCCGATCCCACGATCACCAACCTTCAATTCACTAGTTGGGTGGGGGCTTGAAGCCGCGATCTATTTACATCCCCCTTTTTCCCGGGCGCCCGGGTCAATGACCGAGAACCCCGCTAACGGACCATTGTAGCGGAACCCAAACATTCAAACTCAAGGCAACATGGCCGGGAAGGACAAACTTTCCGTCATTGAACTCGACGGCCGGACCGGTGAAGGCGGGGGTCAGCTCGTTCGCATCGCTTGTGCGTTAGCTGCGGTCGCATCCCAACCGATCCGGATCATCAATGTGCGGGGCAATCGTGAAGGCACCCGGGGCGGTGGTAAGTCAGGTTGCTTTCATTCACCCTCACCCATTTTCATCTCCCGTGATTTGGTGTTTTTCGTTATTTTTCCCTCCTATTTATCTGTTCCGTCGCCTTCATTTTTCTCACACTAACGTCCCATACAAAGGTCTGAAAGCACAACATGTTACCGCCATTGAGTTCCTAGCCAAGGCCACTGGCGCTGAAGTCGACGGCCTCTTTGTCGGTAGCCACACCCTTGATTTCCGCCCACATCTCCAGCCATCCGATATCCGCGGCCCCGCTGCTGGGACCGGCCGCAACAAGCATGGCGACAAGAATAACAAGGACGCCGGGGATAACAACAAGGGTATCATCTCACCCTTCAGTCACGGTTCCATCCTCAAAATCGCAGCCGACACCCCCGCAGCCTCGACCATGCTCATCTTCCAAGCGGTCTTCCCTTTCCTCCTGTTCGCAGCGGCCAGCAACGGGAGCACACATAGCGGCACCAACGAAATCACCGTCAACAGTGACGGCACCCGTGGTGTCAACACTGATGCTGCTGACGCGGCCGCGGGGATTATCACACTTGAGATCACGGGTGGCACCAATGTGGCTTTCTCGCTTTCGTTTGAGTACCTCGATCAAGTTCTCCTCCCAACGCTGGAAGACGCATTCGGCATCCGCGTCGAGCGCAAGCTCCTCGCACGTGGCTGGAGCTTGGGAAAACAGCAGCGTGGAAAAGTTGAGTTCAAATTCAAGCCGCTGAAACTCGGCGAAGCCCTCAAGATCAAGGAAGATGCCACAGTCGCGCTTGACGGAAAGATTGGCGGAGTTGTGTACGGCGGCGGTGCTCCATTACCTGCCGTGGAGGACGTCGAGGGCATTGACGTATCCATCATTGTACCAAGCGACATGCGCGAGTCCATGGCCGACGCTCTCGTCGAGGATCTCGAACAGCTCTTCCCCGACGTCGACATCAATATCAAGGTCAATGAGGACAGCGGGGCCGACACCCGCATTTACGTCCTCCTCGTCGCCAAAGCAGGCGTCGTGCGTTGGGGTCGGGACATCCTGACCTCCATGCCCAAGAAGGCCAAGGCCGCCGACAAGGGAGCCGGCAGCAAAGCCGGCAAGGGTGGCAGCAGCAAAGCCAACAACGGCACCGGCAACGGCGGCTCATCCGTCAGCGCCGCCATCTCCCGCAAGCTCGCCAAGGAACTGTACGAGGAAGTCTCCTCCGGCGGGGTCGTCGACGAGTATCTGCAGGACCAGCTGGTCATCTTCCAGGCGCTGGCAGAGGGCCGCACATCGTTTCCGCGGGGCGAAGCTAAGGACAGCCTCGAGCAAGCGGTGGCTCAGTTGAGCCAGCTGACGCTCCATCATGATGATGACCATAACAGCCAGGGGAAGGTTGTCACCAAAGATATCCTTGATGGTTCTGGGGATAACTTGCGGCTTGACAAGAAGACTGATAAGCCGTTTGGTGAGGGCAGTACGCATACCACCACGGCGCGCTGGGTCACTGCGCAGCTGTTACCGGGGGTTAAATGGTATAACAAAGGGCTTTTGTGTGAAGGGACTGGAGTCCGCATGGAGAAGAAGTAACGGCTGATTCTTCGGTCCTCGGTTTCTTTTTATGCACGCCATATTGATGGCCTTGTGCATCGAGGCCGAGTCAGATTCTGTGGTGATTAAGGCTACCAAGAGGATGGTCACGAGTGATCTTGTGGCAGCTGCATTTCGTGCATTGGGCGTTTTGTTCTCTTCCCATCTTCGGCTTCTCTTTTGTCATTGGGTTGAGGATATTTGGCTGAGATGGGAGCGGGTGTCTGGTTTTAGAGGCCATCTGATCTGATTCTTAGTCACTGATACCCATGCGATGTGTAATTTACTTGAGGTTTACCCAACAAATCTGCAACTCAGTGAGCGTGTCTTGTCCTTGTTAAACGCAAAGTCCTGCGAGGTAAGTCCATTTTGAGTAATCACTTGATACACAGTCACCAGATTTAACGGATTTGTCTTTATTCGTTATGTTCGTTGCATCATTTATCTGTATCGTTCATATGCCTCAGCCTCTTTTTGCCGGGCCTCTACCAACTCAATCACTTCGGGGCTATAAAGATCCTCCAAAGTTTTATCACCCAACAACACCTCCTTCACATGCCGAACCGCCTCTTCCTTTGTCAAGCACACCAAATCACTCAGCCTAAGATTCGACGACTTCTGCTCCTCATTCCCCTCTCCAATCCGAACCAACGTGGTGCCTTCCGGCTTCTTCCACCGGATCAGCATCAGCTTAGTCGGAATACCCGTGATCGCGCTCCGGCCACGGAACGCCTCCTCGACGAGAAAAGCGATGTCGCCTGGTGTGATGGGGACCTTGAGGCCGATGCAGACGTCTACACGGCCGCCTTCGATCGAGCGAACGACTTTTTCCTCGCTGGCTTGCACGTAGGCTAGGATCGCATCGTACATCTTGTCGCGGGCTTTCGCTGGTTGGTAGTCCATTGGGTAACCTGGAGATGTATGTTAGTTGCGGTTGTGGTGTGAAGGATGAAGTGAAGTTAACTTGCCTGTAATCTTCAGAATAACATGGTTCGCGGCAACATATCCGAAAACCGCCGGCATCGTCCCCAGCACCGGCAAAATCCGCACCCGGAAATCCGGTAGCACACCCAGCTCGCCCACGGCCCCCTTCTGAAACTCCGCTTCAGCCAGCGGCAGCAACGCAGCCTTGCCCTCACCCATCTTCTCCGTCGAGTACACCACCGGAATCCCACTGCTCACCCCCAACAGCTTCAACCGCCTCCTCGTCGCCCGCGACAACCCGTCCTCAAAGCTCGCCCCAATATCCCCTACCATAACCCTCGTCGGGTCACTCTTCGTCCCCGCGCCCATAGCCGAAATCACCGGCAAGCCCTGGTCATGGCAATACTTGAGCAGCTCAACCTTACTCTCAATATTATCAATCGCATCAATCACAAAATCCGGCCTCTTCCCATCCTCCCCAACCCACGGCTCCAACACCTGTCCCGCCACCCCCCCTTCAAACTTCTGCAACCTCAAATCAAACCTCACCCACGGCGCCACCGCCACCAACCGCCTCTGCAAACACTGCACCTTCGGCAACCCCACATCCGCCAGCGTCGCCACAGCATGCCGGTTCAAACTACTCAACGTAACCTGATCGAAATCCACCAGCCGCAGGCGCTGCACACCGGAGCGGGCGAGCGCGGTACAGGCGTGGGAGCCGACGCCGCCGCAGCCGATGATGACGACGAAGGCGGAGCGGAGGGCGGCGAGCCCGGCGTCGCCGAGGAAGACGCGGTTGCGCGCGAGTTGCTCGAGGATCAGCTCGTCGTCGAAGTCGCCGGCTTGGGCGCGGTGGGCGAGGGCTTGGTTGTGGGCGTCTTCCTTGTCGGGGTGGGGGATCGGGCCGATGGGTGTTACCTGGTGGGCGTTAGTCCTTTTTTCTGTCTCTTTTTTTTGGAGGGGGGGTTCATTGTGAGGGTGTGTGTAATTACTTACTGCTTGGATGGCTGGCTCGGCCTCAACCCCGGTACCGGACTGAGGGATGGACTGTTTGAGGCGAGAAACACGATTGTTTTCTTGCAGGCGCTGGTAGCTGAGGATAGCACCGGCTGCTACGGCCGCGGAGACCACGGCTGTGGCCGCCAGCTGGACCTTGGAGTTCGAAGTGAGGGTCGACATGCCGGGCATGAGAGAGTGGGATGAGGGGAGAAGAAGAAATTGGAATAAAATGTGGTAGGATCAAGTCAACAAGCCCATTTCTCCTCCTCGATCCTCAGAATAGCCGTCAATCGGGCAGCAATGGTGCGTTAGAGCAAGGCTGTGGTTGAATTTAAGTTTAACGAAATCTGATCTCCAATACACAGTACGATTTGCGCTTCAAAAATTTGAGGTTTCGTCATTCCCACAGGGAGCAGGGGTTGGTTGCCAAGACTGCCTCGCCCGTTACGGCTTAGCGTGCTTTCTTCTTGGGCCTCCTTAACTCCGCGAGCTGCCGGATGTCACCTTGTTTCATTTTCCTGGTCTCTTTTCTTCTCACATTGTCCTCTAATCTGCTTAATGGCTAAAAAGCCAAACGGACCCTGCCTCACAGTCTGTATGCGGACAAGTACTCTCACTGTTTGCTTGAATTCCCAGATTTTGTAACGATCTCAGTTGTTTGGGTCTTCGGCCAAGGTTGCTGTGGCCGGATTGGTGTTCCTGGGACAACTTACCCTCGTTTCCCTTTTCTGAGGTCCGAGTTTAAGACGTGTATGCATATGCAAGAACTCTGGTTGAGGAACGTTTCCAACTGTCTAGCTTCCTTTCGGATTGCTTCCCTTCATCGATAATGTCCAGTGTTTTTCACTTCATCAGGTTTGCGTTCCCGTACTCGTCTACAGGTGTCAAGTAATCGCTTTCGAATTCGTATTAGTGCCCCAGTCCCCCAAAAGCCGGGACTCCCCCACCGAGCAAGATCTCGCATTCGCATCCGGACTTGACCAAGGACTCGCCAAGGGGCTCAATATGTGGGACCATTTGCTGACTGCAGGTGTTGCCATGCCTGCCCGACGAAAACCTCCGCATGCAATCGGCGGTTGTTGTTCTCTAACATGGCATTAGTCCCCGTCCTCCCCCGCATTTGGAAGGGGTAAGGCATAAAGGGTTTCCTCTTGAATCCTACCACTCTTCCAGATACAAATAGACCATCCCCATCCTCACTACCATCACCAGCTCTTGTCAACCGACACCTTCTCTCATTCCCAGTATGTAACAAAAGCCAGAGAAATCCCCATTTAAACCCAATTTAAAACTAACATACTCAACGACCCCAACACCCAACTACACACCATGTCCTCCGCCCAAGGCAAAACCGTCATCGTCACCGGCGCAGCCGGCGGTCTCGGCAAAGCCATCGCGGCAGCCTTCCTCTTCGCCGGCGCCAACGTCGTGATCTGCGACGTCAACCAAGAGCGCCTCACCTCCGTAGAAAGCGAATGGTCCCAATCCCACGCCGGCAAGTTCCTCACTCAGCAAACCGACGTCACAGACGATGCCGCCGTGCAAAAGCTAGTCGACGACACCGTCGCCAAGTTCGGCCGTCTCGACGTGCTTGTCAACAATGCCGGCATCATGGACGACTTTTCGCCTGTTGGGACCTGCTCGCGCGAGCAGTGGGACCGTGTGCTGGGGATTAACTTGAACGGGCCGTATCTGGCTTCGAAGGCGGCTATTGCGCAATTTGAGAAGCAGAAAGGGGAGGGGGAGTTTGGGGTGATTATTAACATTGGGTCGACCTCGAGCGTGCAGGGCTTCAAGGCTGGCGCGGCGTACTCGGTGTCTAAGGCTGGTCTTGTCGCGCTGACGAAGAACACTGCTGGGTTTTATGGGGATAAGGGCATCCACACTATTGCCTTGTTGTTGGGCGGTATGTTAAACCAAAACACACCGGCAAGGGACATGGAAATATGGCTAACACAACGGGCTGCTTAGGGATGGACACCAACATCACCGATGCCTTCGCTCGCGGGGTACGTGGTTATCTTCCTTTCTTCCCTCCGGTTCCTTTCAAGCTGTCAACACGTCACTAATAAGCTAGTCTAGCTAAACATGGAAGCCTTCGAGAAAATCCAGGCTTCTCAAACACCCTTCTCTCCGGAGCGCCGGGTCCCCATCGAGTCGGTTGCGAAGTACTGTGTCTTCCTTTCCGACAAGGACATTGCGCCCTCTGCCAACGGCTCGTGCGTCCCGTTCAACAAGAACTGGCCTGAGGCGTAAGGGTGTTTATGTGAGGATAGTGAAAGGCATTTAAGGTCTTAACGACTGGGAACTAGCCCAGAATAAATAAAAATGCAATAAAAAACTTCAAAAACATACAACACCGGGGATTCCCCAGTCGTCACCGACCTGAGTACTGATCCGGCGGTCGCCAGTTTGACTAGGGGAGAGCGGACGGGATCCCGTATTTTCTAGCGCCTATGGTCGTATGTGACAGTTTGCGGCGTAGGCGTGGGTTATATTCAGGTGGTGTTTCTGTTGGTCTAGCATGATGGTTGGGGTAGTCCCAAGGAGAGGGTTAGGGTTAAGGTAAAGACCAAGGCAACCATCGCTTGTCACTGGGCTGATTTGGGGTTTAAGGCTGCCGCACGATGCAGCTGTTAGGCCCAAATATGTCCATTGGCCACGGCGCGAATAAAAAAATACACTCCATGAGAGACAGTATTCCTACTTACGTGTGCCTAAGGTAGGTAGGTACCTACCACCCCGCCTAGCATCCATGTCAACCGACTTCGGGCTCCGGTCTCGTGCGACATAATTGCGCTCTGGTGTCTTTGGTGGCCCTTCGTTCCTGATTATCCTTTTCTTTAACTCGAACTTCCTATATACCTTGGGCTTTTTCTACCGCTTTCATCATCCCTCGCTAGCTTCGCTCAACGCAGAGGTATCGACTACAAACTATGGGCCATCGAGAGAAGCTACGGTGGGGTTGGGGGAGAAAAGAGGGGCCTGAAACCAATGGATCCTCGCTGAAGAATGGGATCCCCGAATCTAAGGGGCAGGACGAAGATGATTCTGAGAGAGGCGACGTCCCCCATCCGGTTCAAGACATGGGTGCCGGAAACCAAACCAATGGATCCCCGTCGAAGGATGAGATCCCCGAATCCAGGAGACAGGATGAAAATGGATTCAACAGAGGCGGCGTCTCCCATGTAGTCCGCCACAAGGTCACCGGAAACCAAACTAATGGATCCTCACTAAAGAATGGGATCCCCGAATCCACCAAACAGGATGAAGGTGAATCCGAGGAAGGCGGCGTCTCCCATTCGGTCCAATATATGGACGCCGGAAACAACGAAATCGTTACTCGGACCTGGCTAGGGCCTTTTGATCTTACTGCAGCCCGCGAAGGCGTTTCGAACAGGGAGCAAAAGGCAATCTTCAGTGTCGTAACTGTACTAGATACGTCTATTCCATCCGACTATCGTCGCACAGGGTACCAAGTCGACCAAATCCTCGAAGCTGGCATTCTAGAGAACCCGGATGTTTCTGTCAGCGTCCGAGCCAGGCACATCTCCATCTATTCTAAAGCCTTGATTAGGGCCATTAGATCAGTTGTCTCGTACTATCCGTCCGTCGCTCTTAGAGAAGAAGTTATCAAAATGACAGATCCTTTTCCTCTTATTAGGCACAACCTCCAGGACCTTGAGAATTACCAGCGGACTTACTCCAAATTGTGTGATGTCTCCAGCCAGCAACCTCTAGCAGCAACTCATAGCAGCTTCCCACGCCGATGCACCAGGGTCGAGGCAAGACATCTTGAAGTGCTGTTGGACTTCATTAAATACTTCGTTTACCAGGAAGACATCGAAAACGAGACAGCCCGCCACGCCCAAAATCTGTGTACATTCGAAATGCTCTGGCTCCTGTTCAAGCCTGGGAGGACCGTCTATGTTCAGTCTGATAGAAAGTTGCTAGGCTATGTCGTCCAAGAAGTCTTAATTGATGAGTCCAACCACTTCCTCGTGGGAAACCAGCGTTTGTATAGGGTCAAGCTGTGGAACCTCCAATTTGATGGGCGTTTCGTGGGAAGAGCTGCCAAGGTTGTTATCATCCCACAGTTTAGCGGAGAGCGTGCTGTCACCTCATTGAGAGCTTTTCCCTGTGAGTTCATGGACAAGGCCGACGGTGGCAGGACTAGATCCTAGGCGGAATAGGACGGCAAGAAGTGGTACGACCTCCTTTGCGGCGGACAAGTTCATTACTCTGGTGAACTCGCGGGGCCGGCAAAGAGACTGGTAAGTGCATAATATCCCTATCATCTCCCGAGGTTGTTGGCAAGAGACTAATTATCCTCGCTCCTAATAGTTTGAGGGCCGTATCTATGTAGACCCAGCATCGTACTACTCCCAAAATCCCACAGCAGCCCCGAAGATCTGCGATCTTGATGACATGGGAGAGGGACTATCCAACTGTGCCTGCGAGGAATGCTACAGACAAAGACCGCACCCTCCTACTAATTTCCCGTGGTCGCGTTATGACCTTATCGACCCCATGAAAGAGAAGGATCTCACGATGGAGTCGAATAAGCACGGCCCCAAGCATCGATACCTTATCTGCAGCTCCACGCTGTATGGCTTTGCACTCAAGTCGAGAACCTGGGGTGAGCTTCAACGATAACGCCCCCATCTTTCTGCCAAGAGTATTTCACTGACCCGTATCTGTATCCCCAGAGCAGCTTCATGTTGACAAATGCCACGTGCCCAAAAACAATGCTGGGGCAATTGACACCCTGGTGATGCCTCCCGAGAGGAAAGAAATAATCAAAGCACTCGTCCAGAAGTTCACAGTTTCTCAGCCCACCAAAACTTGGGGAGCTGACTTCATCGAGAGCAAAGGGGAAGGTCAAATCTTTTTACTGTACGGAAGCCCCGGTGTCGGCAAGACCTATGTAAGAAGTCTACAACGTACCTGTACACCACTCCGTACCTTATGCTTACCATGGAATAATCATAGACTGCTGGTTAATCAATGCAATAAGCCTGCATACCCTAGTACACAACAAAGTCCTGCAAACTAACGCACTAGATAGAGTGCATTGCAGAGTACACAAACCGTCCGCTCCTCTCCATAACATGCGGCGACATAGGAACTAACGAGGTCAAGGTAGAGGAGGAGCTGTCCAAATGGTTCCGGCTTGCTGAAAAATGGGGAGCCGTCATGCTCCTTGATGAAGCTGACACGTACCTCGAGGCGAGGTCGAGCGACAACCTCTAGCGGAATTGTCTCGTGTCCGGTAAAGATTTCCCTTTCTCGTAACCCGTTTCTGTCCTGGAGCTGTCATGACTATCCGGGAAAGTTAAGGTAAAGACACTCGCTGACCGCTCGCTTGCTTACCTTTACCGCCCCCCTAGTCTTCCTCCGTTGCGTCGAATACTACCGGGGAATTTTGTTCCTCACCACAAACCGAGTCGGTCACTTCGACGATGCTTTTATCTCACGTATTCACATCATCATCAAGTACGACAGGCTCAAACCAGATGACTGCAAAAAGATTTGGGAGCAATTCTTCAATAAACTGAGGGACGAGCGCAGCGACTTTGAGATTGCCCGGAGCGCCGAAAAATATGTCCTCGACGACGAGACCATCAGTGAAATGGATTGGAATGGTCGGGAAATACGCAATGGTATGTCAAATACTTCAACCCCTGAAAAAGAATACCGCGACAGGATGGCTACGCTGACGATAAATGTATAGCTTTCCAAACGGCCGTCGCGCTAGCCGAATACCGCTTCTCGCAAAAAGTAAACAAATCGGCTCGCGACGGACCGACACTGGACGAAAGAGACTTCCGGCAGGCCTGTAATATGACCAAACAGTTCAAGAATTACCTACTAACCAACGTCCATGGAACCGACGAGGAGGGCCGGGCATTCGTGACCAGAACCAGAGCAGAGCACAGTGATGAAAATTGATGACAGGGGATGGTATGGTAGAGGTATAGTGATATATCTTTCCGATTTCTGGACTTAGGGTCTTTATGGGCCTGGAGAGATGAGACCTAAGTGAGCTAGTCGGGGCCCATATTGTTTACTCTGTCCCCCTTTTTCATTGGCTTGGAAACGAGCCGTCCAACGTTTATTTCCCTCTTCTTCGGTGTAAAGAAGGTAGAAATGTGATTCTTACCTCGGCCCATGAGATGAAATTTTATATTACGAAAGAGATGATGTTATTGCGCCTCATTAGGTATTCGCAGAAGCGTGATGTTATGTAAGGCGGAGGCGGGGGTATGCGAAACAACACGGCAGGCTCCCAATGTATTGCAGGCCAATTGCTTCATTATCTACCTTCATTCCCCCATCCTTCACCGCAATTGCTTGTGCTCTTGCCAGGACAGGTGATCCATCCATGTATATCCTGAGTTCCGTTGCCCTGAGAACGCCATCATCTCGTGTGATAATCTCAAATGACGTCGAATTCGTTGGCTCTCGCTTCGACGCCTTCGTGCTTGAAGCATGTGAAGCTTGTAGATTCATACATCGCTGTCCTTTGGCCACCATCTATTTCCCATCTTAACAGAACGGGCCTCTCTTTAGTGAGCTAAGGGCCTCTGAAGAAGCAAGCTGAACCGTCTTAGAACGCGAATTATCTAACGTTGGCTTATAGAGTTGCGGGCTACTTGACAAATCTTACTTCATCCACTCTGGATGGACGCGAACCTCAAGGTCCAGGGCTGGTTATTGAACGAAGTGTTGACTTACACAAAAACCTCGAAACTATGAACTGGATGGCAAAAATCAAGGGTTGTTTCCATGCCAACTGTGAAAAGGGGCCAAGTAAACAACACTAACCGACGAGCTTACTTCGAGGGCGGGTTAGGGTTGATCAACGGAATAAAAATCCGGCCGCCCCACTCGACCCCACCGAGAGCCCCATATATGTGAGAGCGGGCGGGATCATTCAGGGAGTCCCCATGGGCGGGTTAGGGTTAAGGTAAACATGGGAATAAGGAGTTAGGACGCTTTGTCTCCCATATCCTTCTCCCATTTGTTTCTGCGCTAAATTATCTCTAGTCAAAATCTTGAATTTCCAAAATAGAACCCCAAAAGTAAGAAGTCTACTTCTCCCCTTCCAGTAACTGTTTCGCCGCATCCCGGAGCCTAGGAATCCGCACCAACCCTACCAGCTACAGGATCATCACATTACCGCTGCTCTGTATAATATTATATAAATCGATACGCCGCGCATCGGCATACTGTGCCGCCCAGCAGGACCAACAGCAGCCGTGCGGTGTGAGGATTACTCGGTAACCCTTAGCGGTGGAAATACACGCGGCGGCGAGGCGGGCCTGCCAATTGCCTCTGGCGGTGACGATCCCCGGTGCTGAGGGGGCTACTATAATCTCAGCAAAGTTACCGACCGAGATGAGGCGGGGCAGTTGTGAAATATTGCCCAACGCTGTGCCTCGCGGCGGGCCATGTTCTGGAGAGCAGGGGGGGAAGGCAAGTTGGGGGAGCCTGATCACCAGCTTCTCACGTCGGAAAGCGGATAGAACGTCCAGGTCAGCAACCCATTTCGCTTTATCGTAAACCGAGATGAGGGTCTCAAGAAAGTATGCCTCGATGTCCTTGCCACCAGTGGTTCCCACATTAACTTCCTGCTTCCACTCGGTGAAAGACAGCTGCAGGCTCGTGCCCCCAAACGAGTCGTCGAGCACGCCGTCAAACACTTGGTGCGGGTACAGGTACCAGTCGTCGACCCCGTAGTTCCGCACATCTGGGTCTGGCGGTGGGATCATGAGCGCCATACCCGCCCGGCCAATGTTGCCGGTGACTCGTTGGATGCCTGCCCGCCCGCCATCAACCTGGGAGGGGTCACGCAAAAGCGCAGAAGCGATATACATTGAGTCGGCCGAACACAAAGCAAAAACGGCCACCAGCTCCCAAGGGTCAAAATTGAAGCTTCCCGTCTCCATCATGGCAATGCAGGCAAATGTCGTAGCTATGGTGTGGCCGCTTGGTGCAAGGTAGTGCTGTCTTGTGCGTGCAGAAGAGCCTTCAAAGGCCCGTTTCACCCAACGCGCATTGTTGAGGTCAACCTTCGCCGCTCTGATATCCACTGTGGCATCTCCCAATTGCCTGTAGAGACTGTCGATAAACGTCATGCCGAGGAGGCTTGCATTCGTCTCGAAATCTAGTCTGAGATGCATCTTTGCTAGCAAGGCGAAATCGATCCGACCGGGCTTGAAGAGGCCCATGAGCCTTTTTACCGACAAGGTGTAGTTTGGCTTGCCGTGCCCAAACTTGGCTTGCCGTGCCCAAACTCTTTGACCGTCGTGGGAAGGGATGAACTGCCGGTTGTCGAAATGGATGGGTTCCGAGCGTTTTGTATGAGACGTAGGGGTTCCCCGCGTTCACGGCGAGAGAGAAGCGCAACGCCTTGGTGATGGCCAAAGACTACATCGTACTCGTACGTGCGCGTCTGTGAAGCCTTCATAATGAAAGTGGTCTCGTCATGCGTGGTATGAGGCTTCCTGCTCCGCGGCCCATGGTGATGAATGTATCTATCGGCACCGCGTCTTTGACGTGAATCCGCCTGGTGGATGCTGGGCTGTTTTCTGGGTACCTCGAAAAAGGGATATTGGCTTGAAATCTGGTCCACCTCCTCACCAAATTCTTGAATACGTCGTATTCTTGTTTGGATGGTCTCCTCAGTGGATAATGGAGGATTCATTTCAACCATCGACCGCAGCCTCACCCATCGTCGGTGTGCTCTCGATGTGTGGACGCTATCAATGCCGTCACCCCTGATCCCCACTTCGGGGCATGCGGTGGCAACTTCGAAGCTACCTTGATACCTGCCTCCGTAGTGGTAGATGATCAGATACTGGTAATCCCTCGCATCGCGCTCGGCGGATATGCTTTTGGCAATTTCCCTGAGGAAACGGATCTTGTCTTCGATCTCGATGGCCACGTCTAGATAGGTGTTGACGGTGAAAATGCCCTGGAAGGGTGCTTCCACCACGCCGCCGAAGTTTCTGCCCAAAGTCCTGAGCGAAGATGCCCTCGGCTGGTCTAGCGAAGTTGCCCACTTATTCGCGATTTGAGAGAGCAACAGAAGCCACGACCAAGATTCATCAGCGACGGTAGTATGGAGGGCGTTGTGTAGATTGAGAGCAACGTCGCCCGCATAGCGAATGACCTCCTCCGTGGAGATGTCAGGGTCGCTGTCCCACGCCTTGATGTAGGCACAAAACCAAGCAAAGAGTAGTTCATCCACCGTGACCCTATCTCGCTCGGATGTCCTCATCGAGCTGAACTTGGTTACTGGCAACCCGTAATAGCGAAGATGGGCGAGAGGAAGCGACCAATAAACGGAACGAGCTTCTCTGCCCGGTGCCGGCTCAAGACCGATGGTAAGAATGCCGCTCTTCTCGAAGAGAGGGTCCCTAAGCTCGACCTGGGGGTTCCGAGCCATCATGCACTGTAGATCTGGATAGAGATGCCATGCCATCAACCCAAGCAGAACCGCGCCGCTTTGCACTGGCCGATGTATTCCTTCGAGCAGCTTCTCCATCTCTTCCATTGCCGCTATCTAACCCGCGATAACACTTTCGTACGTGTTCGGCTTGTTGTTGACAGGCATATCGAGGTTGTCAATAATGAGACGCAGTTTCGTCTGCTGCGCTAACTTCTCCGAGTCGGCTACCCGGAGCCAAGATCAACAACTGGCATCCCAATCGGCGAGGTCGGACCGCGGGAGCTGCTCGCGAGCAGCGAGCATCAGATCCGTCTCGATCTCGCCCTCGGCTTCGAGCTTCTTGGCGACCTCAATCTTGCGGTTCGCGATATTCTCGTCCCAGAGGGATGTGGCTTCGGGCGCGTCCTAAATCCGTGCGAGCATGCAGGCGAGAAGGTGACATTGGATTGCCGCGTGGCCTGAAGTGGCCGCCGCCCATAGGGTCGTCGCGTCTGCCCCTATGCGGCTAACAAACGGCCCGTACGAGGAATCATCTCCATTCGTGTTGGCCTTTGCGCTCTTGGAAATCTCAGAAGCCCTGGTTCCGTATGCCTTGATGAGGTTTGGAGTAGAAGGCAAAATGTGTTTAAACAGTAGGCCGAGTTTCCTCGCAGTCGAATGCGGGGTTCCATTCTGGGCCTCTTCCAATCGCGATTTGGCCAAATGACGCCCAACGCCCTCATACTCGGCCGGTGGGTTTACTCGCTTGGTGAACAAGTTGACCTCAAAGTGCAGGTTGGCCAACGCAAGGGTTGTCTCTGCCCGCGGGGCCACTGCGGCGGCGGTAACATTGCCGATCGAAGCCATGTTTGTGGCTGAATTTTCGGCGCGATAATACTTCTATTTTCTCGATTGTTGAATTATAAAGACTAGTTTGAAGCAGTGGTTTCCAGCCTGATGGGAGAGAAAGAGCGGGAGGGGAAACAGCCCATGCCGGAGCCTCATCACGCACACAGCCCGCTGCAATAGGTAGGTACACCCTACATCCAACAATCCACACACTCAATCATAGACAATTATGGCACGCATGCACGTGGGGCAACACTGCATGCGCCCTACATGTAGTCGCTGGCGAAGCTCAGCCACCAGATCAGACCCTCAGTCAGAGCTACAGGTACACAGGGAGAGGTTTATCATTGTTTTATTCTAATATCTGTGGAGCGTGCAGATTCCGGATGGTATTGTCAACTAAATAACAATAATTTCTATAGACTAGTTTGACTAGAGGAGAGCAGACAGGGTCACGTATTTTCTAGCGCCTATAGTGCCTATAGTCGTCTGTGGTTCTTTATCACGTACTCATCGGGTCCATTGGTGTAGCATGATCGTTAGTGGTGGCCTCAGTGGGAGGGTTAGGGTTAGGTGAAGTAAAGACAGAGGATAGGGGTCAAGACACACACTTTCTCTCCCACATCCTTCTCCCCCTTATTTCTGTGCTGATTTACTCAAAATGTTGAATTTCCAAAATAAACCCCCAAAAAACAACAAGTCTACCGCCCCCCTTCCAGCAACTGTTTCGCTGTATCTCTCAGCTTAAACTTCTGAATCTTCCCGCTCGCCGTCTTGGGGTATTCCTTCACAAACCAGACATGTTTCGGCGCCAAATGGCTCGACAGATGCGTCCTAACCCATTCCCTTACCACCTTTGGGCTCAACACATCATCCTTCTTCTCCCCACTCTCTGCTCCTTCCTCTTCCCCTTGACCGTCCCCCTCCACCACAACAACCCCCTGATGCGCAATCACAAACGCCCCCACACACTCCCCATACTTCTCATCCGGCACCCCAACCACACTAGCCTCTGCGACCAGCGGGTGCTGAAACAAACAATTCTCCACCTCCAATGGGTGAATATTTTCCCCGCCCCGAATGATAAGGTCTTTAATCCGCCCCGTAATCTCAACATACCCCTCTTTATCCATACTCGCCTCATCCCCACTATACATCCACACCCTCTCCTTTCCGTCCTCACCATCCCTCTCGACCCTCCTAACCTCCCCCGTCCGCTCCTCATCCCCCCAATACCCCTCCATAACCAAATACCCCGCCGCCGCCAACTCCCCACGTTCCCCCAACGGCACCACCCGGCTTCTATCAAGCGGATCCACAATCTTAACCGCCGTATGCGGCATCACGCGGCCAACTGATCCCGTGCGCCGGTCTAAGGGGTCGGTGGGGGCGGTCATGCAGCTCACGGGACTGGTCTCGGTCATGCCGTAGCATATGACGAGGTCGGTCAGGCCGAAGGTGGCGAAGAGTTTTTGCATGAGGGAGGAGGGGACGGAAGAGCCGGCTGCTATGCCTTTGCGGAGGTGGGTTGGGAGGGCGGCCGTTTGGGAGGGTGTTAAAATTGGTGGTTGTGAGGGTGTTGCTGGGTTGGGACTGGTGTGGTTGTGGTTGTGTAAGAGCTCGAGCATGGCAACGAACATGGTAGCTACGCCGTAGAGGCCGGTAGCGCGGTGGGCAGCAGCCATGCGGAGGGTAGCGGCTGGGTCGAAGGCTGGGGAAGGGAAGAGGAGAGCTGCGCCTGTTGTGGCGGTTGCCATGTAGCCGAGGACGGAACCGAAGCAGTGGAAGAGGGGTGGGGGGCAGACAATGAGGTCGGAGGGGTCGAGGCCCATGCGGTAGGCGATTAGCGCGCCGTTGTTGAGGATGTTGGTGTGGGAGAGCATGGCGGCTTTGGGGTGGGAGGTTGTGCCGGAGGTGAATTGGATGTTGACTGTGAGGCTGTTAGTGGGAGACTTCAACCGGGGAGACGACAAACTCAAACGAACAAAAAGGGTCACTTACTCGTATCACTCGGAGAAAGCGGAGAATCTGGCGTAATCCCCCTCACAGCAGCCCCCAAACCCGAGGCCCGCACCGCCGTCAAATCCGGCACCAGCTCCGTAAACGGCGTCAGCGACCGCAGCTCAGCAACCGGCGGAAATCCACTCAACGGATGCGCCGCCGAATTATCCACCACCACCACCGTCTTCAACGTCGGCACCTCAGCCGCCTCGACCCTCCCACTCTCCAGATCCGGCACCAGCGCCCGCAACAACGGCAAGTTACTCCTTCCCCGGCACGGCTTATACGCTAGGTCGGTAACCGCCCCGATGACCAACAATTCCACTCCCAAATGATTCAGCGCCGCCGTGACCTGCTTCGCGTTGAACCCCGGGTTGAGCGGCACCAAGATGGCGCCAAGCTTGAACACGGCATAGGTCAGCGTGGCGAACTCGGCCGTGTTGCCTAGGCTGACGGCTACTCGGTCGCCCTTTTTAACGCCGAGGGAACGGAGGGAATGCGCGAGGGCGTTGGAGGCTAGGTCTAGTTGCTCGTAGGTGAGTGTCGTTTCAAGGGCCGGGGGGAGGATGGTGTCCGCGGGCAGGTTGGGGAGCACGGCTGAGGTGGTGGTGGGAGTGCGGGCGATTACGGCGGGGCGGTCGCCGAATTGGTTGACGATGGTGTTGAATTGTTCGGGGATGGTGTGGGTGAGTAATGGTGGCTAGAGAGAGTCGAGGGTTAGTGTCATTGTTACTATTTCTTTAAGCAAGGCAACTTCCGTACCTCTGTCGGTCCCTCCTTGATACTCCGGGTCAAACTGCTGACCGTCCTCACTAACCGTGGCCCGGAGCCTGGTTTTGATGTCGCTTCATTAAACCGGAACCATGCCGTCAAACAAGCCGAAATTGGTATTCGCCTTCCGGAGAGTCCCCCGAGGCGTGGGGAAGCACAAAAGCCCCTAACCGTGGGCCTCGTGTGAAGGCGCATGGTGGCTTACTATGCGTTCCTATTTCTGTTGCCGTTGTTGTTGTTGTTCTGTTTAGGATAGGTAGGAATGCTTGAAAAGGGGTGGGTAGGGTGAGTCCCGTCAATCCCCGGTCGTAAAACACGGAAGGGCCTCAAGTTATTAGATCTCAAAGTTACCCTCACAAGAAACCGTTGTAAGCAACCCGAAAACCAGAATTGGAACCAAATACATTAAATATCAAAAGAAAACAAAAGAGTAGACAGGCAAAGACAGGACATTCCGATCTCCTTCCCCACGATCGCCTGGCCCAACCCCGCCATTCACACGCGCCCCATCCCTCAGCCCAAGCAAGTCCCGAGGTAAACCTCCAACAAGGAAGGTCGAAAAAGGCGCTTGGGGGCGCTCTTGGCATCCCCCCGGGCCATTGGGAATTTGGAGAAAGAATGCGGGGTGCAGGGGGGATAACACGAAAGAGGGTGGTGCCCCCCGCAGTTCAGCTCGACACATGCTAACTTCGCGAGCCTCGAAACCGACGAACCTGTACTTAGATAAGTAGTGGCATGCAGGATAGGTAGCACTGGTGAGCTACCTAATTGAAAAAGAATTATGTCGGTAATTTCAACGGCGAGCGGCTAAACCTTGCAATCGCCTACTTATTCTAGCTCCGTTGTCTTCATCGGCCATCCGCTCAGCGGTGCGGAGAGATAAAGTTAGGGGGTTCCGGGGTTACCCCACTTTTCTCCGCTCCCGTCTCTCTTCCGGCACAGCGTGGGCTTTTGGACAAGACTTGCAGGAACGAAATGGGAAAGTGCGTGCCATGACGTGCACACACCACCATAGCCGAAGAAAACGATATTGATCAGCCTTTACGGCGATTCAATTACATGTGATACTACAAAACCCGCGCCGCAAACCCGCCAGGCAATGACTTGCTTGCCCCTCCTGATGCTTCAGAAACCCCCGACAACCCCGAGCTGCTCTAACTTGTACAATCTTGGCCGCGCAAAACAAAGCAAAAATGAGTACAAAAAAGACGATAATACCACAAAAGAGATACGAAGAGACACCGGCCCAGTTTTCTGTACACCGCCTACTCTTCTATCCGCCGTCTCTTCTTCTCCCATCTCCCAGAGCTGACCGGTCTGGTGACAATGAAAATGCAGTTCTACTACAGTACCGTACCCGCCCCAATGATAACGCCGAGCCATGCATATTTTGTGGGTAAGGAAAATAAGGAGAAAATGGGAGTAATAAAAGAGGGTATGCGTCGTAATAGAAGACAAAGAGAAAAGACGAAGAAAAAAACGGAAGAATAAATATCGTAAGAATAGTCTCGAGCATCGATGGGGAGCTCGTTAATCGCCGATGTGTCGCTCACTTTCGGGCTTCCACGTACCTAAACCGTATCACCGTCAGCATTCAAGGTCTTTTCGGAGCACAAAACAAAAAAAAACACCGGGCACGAGGGGGAGACACACCTTCAAAGTCATGCTTTACAAATGCCATCGGATCATCGTAGTCCTTCGATCCCATCTGCTCGACTCCTGGCGAAAAACTCGTGATGGGGAGTACCACCACGTCGCCCACTCTCCTCGAGTTCTCCATCCCCGTAAAATTCTTCCAGTCGATCAGCCCTGACGATTGCGTCATATCAAAGTACCGCGGGTCGTTAAAGTACTCGAACACGATATCCGTCCACAGCGCGGGGCCCGTAAATTCAATAACACTCTTATTGTTCAAGCCCTTCAATGACCCCTCCCTCTTGCGAGTCAGCGTCTGGTTTGTGATGCGCGAGACGACTTGCCGCAGCACCGGGTGTCCGGGCTTCGCCTGGATGGTCCACTGGCAGAATTGGATGCGGCGGCTGTACCAATCCTTCCAGTCGGGCCGGTCCGGGTCGGCCTCGATGCCAATGACGAGACCGACAGCCTCCCGTGGAACCGAACTGGGAATCCATTCCAGCGCGCTGCGTATCGCGTAAGTGTCGATATCGGAGTAGATGCCGCCGCGGGCGAGGAGGATGAGGTAACGGAAGAAATCGGCCTTCAGTACCGGCAGCGGGAGGGCGTCGTAGGCTTCGAGGACCTCGGGCACGGAGGCGTAGAGGAGTCGAATTAGATGCACGGCGACTTGGTCGGTGATAACCTCGTGGACGAACCCCGGGTGTTGATCCGTCCATGTGGCTTCTTGATCACGGAACTGAAACTCGCCGTGCGCGGGCGTCCATTTCCATGTTTGCCAAATGTATGCGGGGAACTTGGTCTCCACGTCATAAGGAAAGTGGTATTCGAGCTTGTCGTACAGTGTCATCCTCGAGGTGTCCCGCAATGTCTGCTGGCCCTCTGGCGATGTCTGCTGTTGTTGGTGATGCCGGTGTTCGCTGGCTAGGACAGCATCGTTCGATGAGGATGCTGTCGAGTCGGATTGCTGTCTGGGATCAGAAGGAGGATTGGACTCCGGATTAGACTCGGACTTCGGATATTCGACCGCTATTGGTGACGCTGTTGGTGACGTCGATCGTGTGATGAAGTAAAGGGCGGTGATGATGAAAGCCGCAGCCACGAGGGCGCGGCGGAAACTGAGCATTGTGTTGGATTGCCCGTCTACCACGAGGCCAAAATACAATTCCCTTGTTGTGTTTCGAAGTTTGCACGTGTGCGGGCCAAAGGTCGTCGTTATGTGGCCCAAAAGTTGAGGCGTTGTTCCTGCATCCCAACTCCGTTCGGCGATAAAAGCTGGACGTGGGGGGTGTTTCCGATAGAGGAAAGATCCCCAAGATCGATATGTTACGGTCGAAGTTCCGTCGGCGGGGCAGTGTCTGAGTCGAGCAGAAACCGCTAGATTTGAATATCACGAGAATGAAGGAAAGACAGTAGATGCGCCAGGCAAAGGGAAAAAGGAGTGTCGAGGAAAGAGAAACAAGGCAGTTGGCAAATTCGTGGTGGGCCAGTTTGAGTCCCGCGAGTTGCGAAATGCTTCCCCTTGAAGTGCGCGACAGGGGGAGCTTGCCAATTGGCGTGGCGTTTGGTTGGCGGAAAAGAGATGGATGGACAGGGGTACTAAATTCGGGGGTCGCTGATCATACCTCGCCCGCCTTGGAAGGACGCGTCCACAAGCGACAAACGGTTCTGGGAGATCCGACGAAGAAGATCACAGGGCAAGACCCATGGCAGTAACGGGCGGCCGCAGTGGGAGAGCTCTTCAGAGGTGGTTCTAATTTTTCTAGTGTAAATCCGAGTCTTGCCGGTTTCACGGTTTGGGTCTCGTGGAAGGTGCGGCCGAGGTGGCCGTGTCTGGGAATGGCCAGCGGTTGACCACTACGATATCATCGAGACGCTTGCGAAGCAAGGCGAATCCGAGACGGCTCAACGGTGTCTTGAGTTTTCTAGAAGAACAATGGCACGGAATGGACAACAAGCCCCCGAGGTTGGACCGTTGTTCTTTCTGGCTACAGTTGGTGGGGGGAAAGCCAGGGCAGGTGGCATCCGAGACATGAAGAAGATCTTGGCGTCCGATAATGACGTCGAACGGGCCGTGCAACGCCGACGTCGCCAGCTCGACGTTCAATCAACCTCTGCTGGCGTAAGGTGTTTCAAGTCCGAAGCTGAGTATAGAAACCTAGGTAGCTTTGGTTTCACGGGGCAGACAAGGTCTTGTTTTTCTATTTCCTACGACCCGAGAACAAGACCAAGCAGTAACAGTGGAACGAGCTCAAATTTGAGGTTCCACGTCATCCATAACGTTTAGCTGCTGAATTTGGCTCAACTTGATGGAGATTCCTGGATGCCCGTCTTCGGAAAGAAAACACTTTCCGGAATCCCAATCCGCCGGCCGCCGGGTTCGCAGCAAATTTTACCGGACTCGAATAATTCGCCCGAACGGAGCGAGAGAGATGGAGTTTGAAGTCTGCTTCTCAATTGCCATTTCCGATCGACTGGGTGCCATTTTCGGCAGAGATTTTGACGATCCTCCCGGCGATCCGCATCCCGCTGTCGTCTTTGGTGGGGTTGACAAACATGAAACGGGTGCACAACGTGTTCCCCTTGGCACCCTCGCAGGGGTCCACAGGGGCTCGAAAGGCTCTCGAACTCTCAACTCGCTTCAGTACCATATTATCTCAAGACCATCAACATCGGCCGATTGATCTGAGATTCAAACTTCCTTTCAAAGGATAAAAATCGTCCCTGGTGCGAGCTCACGAGTCGGATAGCTGTGAAGTTGAGATTGTCAAAAAAATCCAAACCTCATGGGCAACACCATCAAGACATTGGAGTTGCACGAATTCTGCCTTGTCTTGCGTCACACATGCAAGGTCTTTTTTCCAATGAGATTTTGCATCTACTCATCGTAGAAATCTAAACCGGTAGCATGAGGCCAGCTGCCCGGTGAGATTGTCGCCGCTTTTCGCTCACCAAAAGCTTGAGTTAAATCATGTCCTCAATTTTGTCTCGGCCTCGATTTTAAAAGAAAATGCACTCCTCGGTCCCGAGAGTACGAGGCAGTGGTCAGAGAAGAGTGCCTCAGCTCTGTGGCTTGGGAAGAACATGCATGAATGCCAGGTCCCGGTGATGATACACAGCACAGAAGTAGATAGGGAGTACCATCTACAACTTGCCCTCCCACACTCCTTGGAGGCGAGAACCTACGCAAGAGGTTTCCTATCTGGCTAAGACGCAGCTCACCTTGCCTTGGTTGGGATAGAAAGTATCAGACTTGTTGAAGGCAACTTGGAAAAGGATGGGTGTGATGACTCCTAAGGTGGCGATGCGTTGGATATGCTCATTTATTGGTGTTTAAATGATTCACATCGCCACACTTCTTGAACCCGTTATATGCTGACATTCATATCTGTGTAACCCCTCCGTAGTGAGCTGGCGATGAAGGAACAAGGCAAACAGCACATTAGGCAACAGTTAGGCATCGACACCCAAAGCTGGGCAGGCCTGGTATGGTCTGGCCACCCTGTAGGGCTGATGGTGAAGATTGCCTTAATTTCATTTCCTAGCTGAGACGTCATGAGTCGATGAAGGTAGCTGACTTACTTTGGGGTCTGACGACTGAGGATGTCAAAATGTGAGTTACCTGAGTTCGGGCAGGCAATTATTGCAAGGGGGGGCTATAATGCTACTCGGTCAGAAGTTGAGTAAACCTCGAGGATAGGTTTTCGTGATTGTGCCGAACGCAAAGTACATTCAGTTTCGACGATTGACATGTTGTTTTTGTAACTTGTAGTAAGCCGTAAAGAAACCCAAGCTGTGAGTCCCCATCGTAAGTGACAGGTCATTGCTGAAACCCCGTTTCGTTTATAACTCCTCGGGTCCATGTCTCCCTGTGCAGATATCCATCCACATCAATTCCTAAACCCTTTACAGCGATAATGAACTCCGGTTCATGGCTTCCCGGCCAGGATGCATGACGACGGTTTCTACGGGTCTATATACACGCCTGTTGATGGTACCTTTCCCGTTTCCCGGGTTGCCCCCTTTCCCGACATCCAGCCCAATCCAGTCCTCACTTCACCGGTAGTGGTCGTACCGCACAACGTGGCGCCGGTCAGGGAATGTCGGGCTCGAAGGCATCTCTGATGGCCTCCCGTCTTATAGTACGATTCCACGGTATTATAGGAGAGTCCTAGTTCTGGGGCACTCCGCAGGAGCGGAGCGTACAATGAATGATAAAGGCGTAGAAAAAGGAAGAGGTGAAACAACAGGACCAAAAAAAAAAGCGAAAGAGTAAAAAAGCAAAAGCTCACCACCGGGCCTTATCGAGAAAAGGCCGGATGGTTACGAAAAGCCTCCGGGGGGCTTTTGCAGACTGGGGATCGAACCCCCAGCCTCTCGAATCGGGGCCGTCCCAATGCCGCTGGGCCACACGCCGGTGTGTGGCCCTTGGGACGTCGGTGGCAGTGACAGCGAGAAGGGGGGTTATATACTGCCGGGGTGGAAGGTGCGGACTTTGGTTCTTGCGGGGGGATGGAAGGGCGGCTGGTTGTGAGATGGGATGGAAGACTTATTCACCAGCCTTTGTAACGAAGTTGGCGGTAAATTCCAGCGCCGAGAGGACAGCAAGATGAAGGAGTGCCACCCTTCTCTCATGATCCAAAGGTATATCCCCAGACATTCCCTTTCAACCACTACTTCATTCGCCTAACACACCCCCTCGAGTTCGTCTCGGCCTTGGCTCACTCGCCCTATGGACTGTGGTTGCCATAGTGACGACAACTCCTTAACCCCTGACCAAGCCCCTGAACAGCACGGCCTGAACTAGCACTCCTGCTACCTGAATTCACTCCTTATAAACTTGCACTCAGTTTCCTAGGAATCCTTTCGCTTGATCTACAGCCTATTCTCGAGGTTGGACCTCCACGTACTACACGCCCATTCACTTGTGGTTGGATAAGATCTAGTCTCTGACAATAGAAGATGGAATGGATAAGACGATGTGAACAACGGCCCAATCTGGGTCGATGGCTCTCTATCTTGGGTGAAAACAGCAAAATCGGTTTCAAGTTACCAGTGCGGCTTACCTGATGCTAAGAAAAGGCCGTACAAAAACAACAACGAACGAGCATTTAAGGGGACTAGGCTGCGTTTTTATACCGAGACGAGATCTAATGACAACGGCTGTTGAAGAAAGTAAAAGTACATTTTATCACTCCCGTTTCAGTTAGCAGAAGCGAAGGCTGACGTATGATCGATCGGTCATGCACTGCGATCGATAATGGCACGTTCCACTACGCCATGCAGATATCCGGTTTGGATTCGAAACACTAAAGGGGAACGAACCATCACGAACTTACTTTACACCAACGAGAAGGACAACTCTCCGGTAATGACTGTGTTTATTTTTTTTTATCTTTGCTATTTTGACGTTTTTTTGGTGGTTTCCCTTGCTTTTACATGTTTTTTTCCTTCTTTAGTCTGCCCGTCTCGTTCGCTTGCGAGGTGCAAGCGAGGTTACGAGCCAGAGATGGGGCTCGCTTCCCTAGACAAATGAGGACAAGTTGGAAAACAAAACTCCTTGAAAATAATCCCCAGAAAGAAAAAGGAAACACTGAAACAATGTCGGCTCGTAACGCAAACTGCTAGTTGCACCCGTTCGCCAGCTGTCGATGATTTCTGCATTCTGTTTGTGCCCCGCCGCCCCTTCAACTCGGAGCGGCGGGACCGTCAAAGCTGCCTGTGGTTAGGCAAAGCTCGGTCGGGATGGAAAGGAGAAACGGAAAAAGGAATAAGAGAGATGGAAGACGAAAAGAAAAACAGGAAAAATCGTTCAAGTGGCCAATACCAATGTCGGCAGTTTCCTATCCCATAACGTATCCGAGCATCAAGGACGCGATGAAGGTATCAGCATCCGACGCTATCAACACAATACCCATTCTCTATCATCCCAACCTAGGCGGGCGCCTTCTTCATAGATTCCCAGGCCTATCATCGCTTCATCTTCGTCAGCCGATGGAGCCATGTCGGGTTCCTCGAAGTCGTGGATAGCGTCGGGGTAGTCGTGTTCTCCCACCCGAGGTCCGCCTCGCTGAAGATCAAGACCGAGGAAGTTGAGATGACTCGAGTCACTCATCCGATTCATAG